CCCTAAAATTTTGTATATAGCTATTATAAGTTACGTTAATTTGATTTTAGTATGAAATCCTCGAATAAACATAGCAAAAATAGCATAATCTAAATAATATCAGATAAAAAGTTCATGTATTTAAATTCTGAAAACTTATAAATCGATTCAAATTTTCTTTTCAAAAGAGATTAAAATAATTTTTTATTTTATTTATTTATTTATTTTTTTTGCTTTTTGGACATAAATGAACTTAAAAATTGTCTATTGCCTAGAAACTTCGAGGTGTTTTCTATTAACTATTAATTAAACCTCTCAGAGCAATCACAAAACATTATTTCAATTTTTTTACAGTCAGAAATTGGTTGCCTAGCAACCTAGTAAAATTAAGCGTTTCTCTTTTGAATCAGTCAAGGGTTATCTTAAAATATTTATTTGCGCAGGCGACTTTTTTTGGCGGTTTTCTGGACTATCGCCAAATATATAAACCTTTATTGCAACCCAATTTACGATCCAATTGTTTTAAAATTTTGTCTACAATATGTAAAAAAAAATATATGTTTATTCAGAGAAAGTACGTTTTTGTGTCTGATTTCGTAACTTAATTAATAGTTAGCACTAATTAATTAGCATATTTGAGGTCACCCCCAGGAACCATTAAGATTGACACTTAGTTCGTGAAAATCGGATCATTAGAACGAAAGTTATTCAGGATGATATATATTTTTTTTTTTTGCGGACTGTACATATTAAGTGTAATTTTGTTAACTAAAATTAATTAATGCAGCAATTTATTTAAATTAAATTTTAATACTAAGAAAAAAGAAAATAATAAAAGTATCAAAAATTTAAAACACTGTTTTTTAACTTTTAAAATCAATATATATATCGATAAAAAAAATTAGTTGATTTAAATCAATGATTTTTTTAAAAAAATCATTTGATTTAAATCAAGATTTAAATCGTGATTTAAATCAAGCTGATTTAAATCAAGCTGATTTAAATCAACGAACCCTGCTTTCAGTAGAAAACAAATTTCAGAACAAAATCTAAAACATTTCTCATTACATTAAAAAAGATATAAACATTTTCAAAAGCAAAAGCTATAACAGAAGCAAAGAATTTTTGTAAGGGAAAGTAACTTACGGTTCCTGTTCTAGATGGTCATTTTTCATTTCAATAAATTGATCTTTCTTTATGACCCTTGAAAGAGACAATTAAAAGATAAGAAAAATGAGCAACAACTTTGAAATACAACATAAAAATTAAATAAATGAAAGACTTTAAGAAATTGACTATTGCATGCCAGCATAATTACAGTACATATCTTTTATGTATGCACAAATTGCAATGGTATGTTTTTCAGCTCTGTAAAAATATGTTTGCCAATAATTGGCTTTTTAACCTACTTTTACTATTTTTTTAAAAAATCATTCTTGGCAAGTATGTAACAAACTTCCTTTTTTTCCTAAAAATATGTTAACTTCCTTAGGTTAACGTATTTCCTTAAGTTAACATATTTCCTGGGAAAAAATTAAGTTTAACATAATAGCTTTTTTATGTTAAGTAAGATAAACAATCAACTTTAAATTAAAGCATGTCATCCTTGGTTACACACAGTAAAGAATCTGACCAACATAAATTTAGATCATAAATTTATGAGAGAAGGAGTACTAAACACATACTGAAAAAAACAGATAAAAGATTATATTATCATAAAACTTACGTAGGTGGCTGAGTCGGGTCATCCCCTAACGTCACTGTATCACCGGGTATTTCAGAAAAACACTTTTGGCAGTAAGTATACCTTAGGTGAACAAAACATGATATATTAATATATAATAAATTATGATAAAATAAGAAGTCTCTATTATATTTTTAAAAAAATAACTAATGTTTGGTAACAAATTTTGTAAAATAATAATTACTATAGGTCAATCTAATATTCAAGAAAATCAATGACAGGATTGTCTGCAATATTTAAAAGTATAACTCACAATTTTTCAATATTTAATAATAATCAAATTTCACATTCTCACAGCATGAATTTGGATCTGACAGATCAACAAGCATGAATACTGATTAGTTTATGTTAATAATAATTTTGTTATCAAGATTTATAACACCAGATTGCGCTGACCGCAAACAATTTATTAATTTTTTTTCTACACTTCCTTTCTTCAGTTTACATCACTACTTACCACTGAACATGATGAAATAAAATTATCTTAATCATTATAATTTGTGTAATTATTTTTGAATACTGTTGGTGCATCAACGACCGAAAAATAGGCCATCTGCATGAAAGCAAGTAAGTTAACATTTGTTTTGTTTTGGTCTCCGTAAAGTCGGTAATATTTGATATTTGCATTTATTATTACAGTAACGTGTGAGCTAATTATTTTTATAATGGATGATTTAGAGAAATTAAAATCGAAACGAGGTGTAATCAGACAGTTGATTATGAATTTGATAAATAAGATTGACAAATTGTTATTAGAAACACTTCCTGATTATGATTCTTTGTATGATTCACTAAATCAGTTAGTTGAAAAAAAACGAAACTTTAAAGGCTATTGATTTGAAAATTGAAAAATATTTTGAAAAGAGCGATGAATTTGAGAGTGAAATTATACAAAGTCAAGAGTATCCAGATCGAGTAGTGGCTTATAAAGGCAAAATCAAAAGATATTTACTGAAATGCCAGACTACAGGACAGGAAGTGGTAACAATAATTTATAAGAAAATATAAGTTATGGAAATATCTCACACGTTGTTAACATTAAATTACCTAAATTGGAGATAAACAAATTTTTTGGTGATGCCTGTCAGTGGCACAGTTTCTGGAATAGCTATAACATAGCTATACATAGTAGTGAGAGTCTTAAAAAATTTATAAATTTAATTATCTTAAGATGTATTAAGGGGGAGTTGCTTTGAGTGCAATTTCTGGGTTTATGGGACCTAATTATGATTCTTCTATTAAGTTGCCAACCGAAAGATTTGGTAGGCAAGATTTAATTATTAGTAGTCACATGAATAAACTTTTATCAATTAATTCTGTAAGAAATTCATATGATATTAAAGCTCTACGTAAGTTCTATGACGAATGTGAAATCCGCATTCGCAGTTTGCAATCAATGAATGTAACAAAAGGTAGTTATAGTAATTTACTCTGTCCTGCTATTTTACAAAACCTACCAGAGGACTTAAATTTAGATTATAATAAAAATAGAAAATCGAGTGTGGATTTTGAAATTGATGAACTAATTTCATTCATTAGAAAAGAGGTAGAATGTAGAGAAGCCTCACATGTGTTATCTAATACTTCTAAAAAACTAAGTGTTCCTTTTCGAAACACAGCAACAGTTGGAGAGCTATAGTAAACATAATTATAATTGAGAAAGTTCTCATCTTCCTCGGCATTAGTTTCGGCATCTAACAACTTATTTTGTTTGCTTTGTAATTCCAAAAATCACAAATCGAAGGATTGGTCTCTGACCATCAAAGAAAAAAAAACAAATGCTAAAAGATCAATTTCACTGTTTCCGGTGCTTAAAGAAATATCACACATCCAAAAAATGTTGGAATAAATGTATTTGCACATTATGTAAGAAACCGCATAGCGAATTAATTTGTGATAAATCAGCAACAAATAATGAGTCGAAAGAGAAAAACGATACTTTGGCATCCGTTACCGCTTCACGTGTTTCGAAACGAAAACAAAATGAAATTATCTATTTACAGACTTCTTTAGCGTATTTGATTTATGGTAATGTAAAGAAGTTGGTTAGAATTTTATATGACTTTGGTAGCCATCGCAGTTTTTTGAAACGTGATATTTGTAATGAGTTGAACCTCAGGACCATTAAAACTAAACGGTTGTATGTTTTCGGTTTTGGAGAAAAAATTTCCAAGGGGTGTTCTTACAATTTAGTGAAAGTGGATCTTCAGAACAAAAACGATAAAAAATTAAATGTTTGCATCGAAGCATTTGTAGTAGAAAAAATAACGTGTGGGAAAATAGCCGCACGCCATGAGAGAATTAAACAATTAACAAGGAAAAATAATACTTTTCTTTCGGATACCGGAGAAATAGATGATATAGACAATTTGATCGACTTCGATTTTCTACACGACGTAATCTTTGATACGTCTTTGAGGTTGGGAAAAGGACACGTTGCAACCGATAGTTTATTTGGTTTTGTGGTTCAAGGGAAATTCATGAATAATTGCCAATTAAATAGGATTGTAAATAATTCTATTATATCTGATGTTGATTATTCTTTGTTTTGGAACCTTGAAGGACTAGGCATAAATACTATGAACGAAGAAAATTTTGATAATAAAAGTGAAATGTTAAAAGGTTTTAATTCTGATTTGCATTTTGAAAATAATAGGTTAGTGAACGACTTCTCTGGAGACCTAACACAAAACATTTGTTAAATGATAACTTTGATCTGGCGTCAGAGAGGTTTGACAAATTAAAAAAGAGATTTAAAAATGATAAATCCTTGTTTGAAAAGTATAAAAAAGTTATAAAAACTTACGAAAATGAAGGGATAATTGAGAAAGTTAAAAACACTGATCCCCGAACTTATAAACAATGTTATTTACCTCATAGGGCGGTTATAAGAAACGATAAACTAACTAGTAAATCAAGGATAGTATTTGACGGTTCCGCGCCAGGGTGGCCACTCAAATCAGATTTCAAATTTCCCTGATTTTTCCAGGTTTTCCAGATAAAAATCTTAAAATTTCCAGGTTTTAGTTTCTTTATTCTAATAAAGTGTAGGCAAGAAAAGTGTCTATATTGTAAAATATTTTATTCAAAATTTTATTTTTTTAACATATTTTGAAAAGAATAATTTATTTTTACAATTTGGCAAGATTTTTTATTCTTTTATTAATGTTTTGGTACAAAATTTTGAATCAAAAATCATATATTGACCAACAAGAGAGTAAAATTAAATATTAGTATATAGTTAGTTCTTAAAAAAAAAACTTTTTTTTAAATTAAAATATGTTATAAAAGGTTAAAATGAAATAGAAAAAATTAGCATTAATGCAACAATTGTAACAATTTGTCGATAAACATTGCTGTTAGAGATTGTAAAAAAAAATGCGTGATTGGTTGGTTTGCTGAGAAAAAATAATTCACAGATTTCTTTTAATGGGAATACAAAAGCTTTCAGAAAAAGAGTGCAATGTAAAATCTATTATTATTATTAAATTATAACCAACTAATTTCTGGAGAATTTTATGAAGTTAAAAATACAAAAACATTTTGTCAAAATGGAAAAAAATTACCACGAAATCATTGGAACAAACTTAAGCCATAAATGGATTCAGCCCAAGGACGGAATTTAAAAACAGAAGCTTATATCCTAATCCCTTCTTACACCTCCACCACAATCTTTCCTAAATTGCACAGTCCATAGCGGTCAAAGGTTTCCACATTCGTTTAGCAACAGTGGGAGAATTTTATGTGGCATTCTAGTTTAACAGAGCTGTAATGGAGCAAATTTTGATGCAAGCAAAGTATTACTAAGTTGATGATATTTAAACTGCTTGAAGATACATTTCCGTCTAAAAAAAGTGGGTATAATGGATGAAATAATTTAAATTAAGAAGATTAGTAAATAATTTAAATTAGTGAAATTAAAAAAAATTCCAGCTTTTCTTTAAAATTCGCTGATTTTCTCAGGTTTTTCCAAGTATAAAAAAAATTCCCTGATAGTTCCAAGTTTTCAAGGTTTTCCAGGTGGGTGGCCACCCTGCGTGCATAAAAAAAAATTTATTGTCCCTTAACGACTGTTTGTACATTGGGCCAAATTTATACCCTGATATATATGAACTTATGCTAGCATTTCGGGAAAGCAAAATTGCTTTTATAGGGGACGTTCAGCAAGCTTTCTTACAAATAGGAATTAATGCAGAAAATTGAGATGTCACTAGATTTCTTTGGTCAGATGACCCCGATAATGATTCGTCTACAGTAATTTATAGATTTTGCCGTGTACTATTTGGTATCAACTGTAGCCCTTTTCTCTTAGCGGCAACAATTAGAGAGCATATTAAAAAGTTTGCAAAATCAAAGCCTCTTGCCTATGAATTACTTAATGAAAGGGTATATGTTGATGACGTAATAGGGGGGAGTGACAGTACAGATACAGCATTTCAAATGAGTTTGGATTGTGTTGAAATATTTCGGGATGCAGGCAAGGTATTGAGAAAGTTTCAAACAAATGATAAAAAATTATGTGAATTATGGAAGAATGCAGGTATAGATGTTCTGAATGAAAAGGAATCGTTAGGTCAATCAGGCTTTCCATTTAAAGTTTTGGGAGTTTGTTGGGATCTTAAAAGAGATGTATTTTACTTTGAGTCCAAATATGTGTTAAAATTGATAGACACAGGGTGCAATGCTTCTAAAATCTCTAGTTCAAAGCATTTGGAAAAGCGGATTGGAGTGGGATCAAGAGCTACCCTTAGATATGGATAATCAGTGGCGCGAAATATGTAAACAATTCGGTGAACTTAATGATTTGAAAATACCGCATTATTATTTTTTCGAAGCAGGTAACAAAGAAATTAAGTTCACAGTTACATATCTTCTCTGACGCCAGATTAAAGGGTTATGATACAGTTGCATATATCACATCAGAAACTAGTGATGGGCATATTTCTACATGTTTTGTTTCAGCTAAAAGTAGAATTGCGCCCCTCAAAAATGATTACATTATCAAGACTTGAGCTTCTAGGTGCCCTCCTCTCTGCTAGATTATTTTGAACTATTACTAGAGCCATAAAAATTCCGTGTGACAGTTTCTTTTGGTGCGATTCCTCTATTGTGTGTTGTTGCACAAAAACTCCTGCCATTCGTTTCAAGCAATTTGTGTGAAATCAATTGGAAGAAATTCAAGAGATTACTCAACCTAAGGACTGGTTCCACTGCCCCGGAATTGACAATCCTGCCGATCTTATAAGTAGAGGTGCTTCCATGAGAATATTGAAGAATTCCGACATTTGGTGGAAGGGGCCATCTTGGTTGTCCCTTCCGGCCGAAATGTGGCCAGAATTGAAACTCTTCAAAGAAAATGATGAACAAATTGAGTATCGTAAAAAAGAAGTCACTGTTATGAAATGTGTAGATTGTGAAGAACTTGAGTTAATAAATATCGCTAACTTTAGCAACCTCGAAAAAGTTGTTAGAATCATGGCATGGGTAAAGCGATATTTGAACTGTTTAAAGAAAGTTAAGCCGAATATGGACACTTTGACTGCAGAAGAGCTCCGAAATGCTGAAGATATACTAGTAGAGCTTACTCGAGCAAAATTCCTTGAAGGTGAGATACGAACTCTCCAATCTAATTTGCCTATTCCAGCTTCTACTACTATTTTCAATATAGCTCCTTATCTTGATGAAAAAGGTATCCTGAGAATCACAGGAAGATTGGACAAAGGACATTATTCTTTTGATGAGAAAAAGCCTATAATCATACCAAGACAGTCTAAATTTGCAGAGTTGCTTGTCAAGCGAGAACACGAAAATGTATTTCATTCTGGAGTAGAGAGCACTCTAGTACAAATTCGGAGAAGATTTTGGGTGCCTAAAGGAAGACAATTGGTAAAAAAGGTTGCCTCGAAATGTTTGATTTATCGCAGATACACAGTCAAACCTTCTACCCAAATGACTGGACAGCTTTCAAAAGATCGAATTAGTGAAACTCCTGCTTTTACTGTATGCGGAATTGATTTTGCCGGACTAATCTACGTCAAGGGTGAAAATGGAATAAAGAAATCATATATAGCCTTGTTCACATGTGCAGTCACGAGAGCAATGCATCTTGAATTAGTCACAGACATGTCTACTTCGACTTTTCTGCTCGCATTCAGAAGATTTCTCTCTAGAAGTGGAAACCATCGTTAATCTTCGACCCTTGTCCTACGTCACTAACAAAATCAGAGAACCGGAAATTCTTACCCCATCATAGTTTTTAACCCCTAGTAAAGAAAAGACAGAATATCCAGCCCATTTCATAGAAACCATTCATAGAGAATCCACCAAAAAGATTCTTATAAAAAGAAATGAATGCCAAGCTACATTATTGGCTAATTTATGGAAGCATTGGAAGGAGCGCTATTTGTTTAATTTGAGATCTGCACACAACTTAACTTCTCCTAACTTAACAAAATGTTTGAAAGTGGGAGATGTGGTTATGATGGAGGGCACCACAAAATCAAAACTATTATGGGACATAGGTATTATAACAAAAGTATTTCAAGGAAGTGATGGATTTGTAAGATCTTGCCTTATTCGCAAATCCAACGGCGAATATAAACGCCCAGTACAATTTATTTATCCTTAAGAACTCAATGACTGAAATGAACAATGATAGACTTTAATAGTTTATGTTTTTGTTTTTTTACTTTTTTTCAAGTGAATATTTGCATTGCATTTCAAAACTATTCGCATTTAAATGTTATTTTTTTAATTGTGTTATTTTTATGTTTAAAACGTTAGTGAACTCAGAGAAGTTCAAGTGGAGAGTGTTAATAATAATTTTGTTATCAAGATTTATAACACCAGATGGCGATAAGCACAAACAATTTATTATTTTTTTTTCTACACTTCCTTTCTTCAGTTTACATCACTACTTACCACTGAACACGATGGAATAAAATTACCCTAATCATTTTGTGTAATTATTGTTGAATTTGAGTTAGTTTAGAAGCAAAGGACTAAAAAAATCATAATACATACAAAAAAATAAGATTTTAAATTTTAAAGCTTTATTTTAACAAAAGCTTTAAAATGTTAATTACCCTGTTTTTCTAAAGCTAGCTATAGCAAGAAAGGTGCAGTAAAACAGTCATAGATCAAAACAACAATGACAATTTTCTAAAAATCATAGGAAATCACATCTGATTTTTATTTTAGCTTTAAATAGTTATTAGCAAAATTTGGCATACACAAGATAATCACAACATTTTAGTAAGAAACAAAACAATTTTTTCATTTATTACTGCAGCAGCTTCTTAATGCATTGCCCCATTAAACTTTAAACCAATATTTTATTTAATCTTTTTTTCCTCAGAACAATAATCATAGAAATTTCATGCATTTATTGTCAATTTTATTTTTGAATAAAAAGATTGATTATAAACAATAGAATAGACAATGAAAGACAATAGAAAGACAATGATTATAAACAATAGAATCATGGTCAGTTTAACTTCAATCTACTTATCCAGATTGATTTATTTGGCATATTTTCTTTTTTTTCCGTAGTACACACTTTTCTAATAACAACAATATTAAAAGTATTATAATTATTTCAAATATTTTGCTTATTTATTTATTAAATTGAAATAAGATGTAAAATATATGAAGATTTTTTTTTTTTAAAAAAAAGTAAAATATTAAAATGCACAAAAAATAAACCAAAAATGTAAGGTAAGATAACAAAAGAAGTAAAAAAAAATATAAAGCGGTTAGCATAATATTTCCCTATATCATTATTAATTTTTTCTCTAATTTAGTAAATACAGTAGAGAACCAATTATCCGGGATGCTCGGGACCATCGCTATCCCGGATGTCTGAATTTCCCGGTTTTCTGGATCGACCAAAAAGTGTCGTTAATCCATGTTTTATGGAACCCGAATTACAAGGAAAAAGTGTAATGCATAAAGTAAGAGTAAAAAGAAAGGTACTCCTAACTTTAAAAAGAATAAAAAAATGGTAGAAAAATAACATTTAAAAGAATTAAAAAATTTGCAAGTTTAGACAAGAAAAACAAGTTTAAAAAATACAAAATTCTCATATTTATTTTTTAAATATAATTACAATTCCTAAATTAACTAATCTAAACAAAACCAATGGTTAAATAACGCAATATATTTCATACCTAATTATACGGGAGAAACGATAAAATAAAAGGAAAACTTATTAATCGAAATAAAAACACTTGAAAATTATCGAACCGAAACGATAGTTAAGAAAGGTACTAGCATAAATATTAAAACCCGAAACAAGGCAAGATCAACGGAATTTTAAAAAAAAACCTCATGATAAAATGTATGAATAAAAAGAATTAATTTATTGAGTGCGAAATTTATCGTGAAAAGAAAAAAAATCAAACGTTGTGGAATCAGAAAAACAAAACTGCAATCTGCTTCATAAAATAATCCTATATTTAAATTAATAAACAATTCTCCTTTTATTTTATTTTTTGCTGATAAAAACACGATATTTAATTACAGCAGATGTGATTCCACATCAATAAAAGCTTGCAAATGATACCGCACTTCCAAAGAATGACAATTTATTCAGAAGAAAAAGATTTTATTTTTATTAATCGATGCCGAATAGATAAATATATTTTTCTCTTTCATCTTCTGTTCACTGATATGCATGCAATGCATTTTCCCCACCCCCCTCATAAATCAAACAGAAAACGAAATCAGCTTGCCACACCCTTGAGCTTGATTGACGGCCTTTAGAAGGAGAAAATAAAACATTCCTCCCTTCCCTGCCTTCAAGGTCACGGAGGAAATGACGTTTCTCTGGGTAAACGGGGGAAAAATTCTCCCCTTCCTTACATTTTCCTCTACTCAACTTCAAGGATGAGTTCAATTTCCGCTTTTTTTCATTATCGTTCTAGTTTAAAATGGCGGGAAAACTGATCAAAATTTTTCCCGGTTTTCTGGTTTCCCGGTTATCTGGATACCGGATAAATGGTTCTCTACTGTACAATTTTCTACATTCATTGGTGACTCATTTTTAGAAACTCATTTTACAACAGTTACAATAAAAAAATATCTCTTCTTTAAGCCTGATCTTAGTAAAAAATAGATTTTTATTTACATTATTTTTTTAGAGCTCTATTTTCAAAAGAATTTAAAATTTTGTGGTCATAGGATATATTTCTTAACTTGTATCAAAATGAGAAGCTCACTATAAAGAAAAAAGTATTTCAGATTTTAGTGTAGATAAGTGGCAAATTTACAATTATCTTCATTCTTAAATCGAAATCCAAACATTACAATAAAAATTTTGATTTCTTAAACGAAATAAAAAAAAATAAAAAAATGAATGAATAAAACAGTTAATTCTTGCAAAAATTAGCAGATCACAAAAATTCCTTCTAAAAAGTTTATTGTATAAAATTTGCACTCAGTGTTGCGTCACGCTGCAAACTGTCCTCTTCCTGCTGTTTCCCAAATTTTCAAGGTTACAGTAAGCATAAAAAAATTCTATAAATGTACTCTTAAATTGAAATTAAATGCCTGAACTCAGCGAAATAGGTCAAGTCTGTTGACAAAAACTGGAGTACCTATAAATTCTTCGAAATGGCATTAAAATATCAGACGAGTCTCCAGAGATGCAGCAAAGGGAGTTTGTTCCAGAATCTTGAAACAGTAGAAATTGTTTTATTTAGAGAATCGATAATGTTCAATAAATCGGTTATAATTTTAGTTGGTTATAACTTGAAGGGGAAAAAAGGAAAAGTGGATATATTCTTTCCTCTTTTTTTTTTAAATTTTAAAAATTTAAGAATTATAATATCTGTTATACTAGTCATAATAATGCAGTGTTGTATATTATTATAATCAATTTTATTTACCATTTGTATAAGTAAAAATAATCAGAAGAGAGTCATACAGAAAAATATTTTGTATTATAGAAAGAGAAACATAAAAGTACATATAAAAAGAGAAACATACCTATTCTGATAGCTCCAGTATTTGGCATCTCTAGGAATAGTACATAATTGTTTGCCATAACAGCATAAAACTTGAGGTTGAAAAACATACTTTCTGCCACAACAATAGCCTAATGATTGCATCACAGGATCAATTTCTAACTCAAATACTTCAGCAAGCTGAAATAAAAAGCAAAAGGAATTAATACAAGAATTCATTGAAAAATTATACAGAACTATTTATGTATTCTCACAAAAAGAAGTACATACAGCGGTCTCTTGTTAATGTGGCTCCACATATAAATTGTATCTCCAATTAATAGGGTAAACTTTCCCTCAGCCATTCCTTAAACTAATTTGTGGATTATCTAAATTTGCTTTAAACTATCCAATGAAATATATTTTTTGGAAACCAAATCATTTTGTTTTTATACAGCCAGCTTAATATGACACATGATAAACAAGTCTTTGAAACTGTGTTCCAAATTGAAAAGTACAAGCATGAATCTATCTAAGCAAAAATCAAATATAACACTGGCATGGAACACCTTCAAGGTAATAATGTTCCATTGACTCACTGATGTTAGTAGTTAAACTATACTTTTGTTTACGTTGGCACCTTTTGTTTATACCTTTTCTGGTATTCCTACAGTAGTTGGACAAGGGGCAGCTGCCATGAAGCATACCTGAAGTAAGAATTTAAATTTGTTCCCTTTCAATAAGTTTTAATAGTTTTTTTTATTAATTTATTTATTTCAAACTGCAAAATGTGTTGCTAGATAAATACTGCTGAGATTTTAGTTCTTATTCTCTCTCCTGATGATTCAATGAGAGAAGATCAGAAATTTGACATTTCTGCTCGAATCTTGTGGGCAAGGCTAAGAATAAAAAGAGGCAAGGACTACCATGTTGAACTGAGGCTCGCTCATGTATTTTAAACAATGGTGCCCTGCCGAAGTTAATTCAAATGACTACTTAAAGTCGAGTATTCAGCTCCTACTACCTGACAGAGTTTTGGCCTGTGTAAAGAATTATATAGAAAATCTTTTAAATAGTTAATGTTGTATAAACAATATTTTATTTTCAAAAAAGAGAACAAATATAGGGAAACAATTAATGATTAAAACATTTTATGTTGCTTTCCAACTGCAGGGTTGCCACTCAACTCTGGAAAAAAAAATTCTCTGTACATATTAGGCACAATATATTAAGAGAAAACAACAATTACTGGGCTCTTGTGTGAGCTATTGTTGGGCTAACTATATTTAATAGTTTTAATTACTGGAAAAACAGCTGAACATACTTAAATAATGCTATCGTAATTGAAATAGTTTAGTATAACTGAAATATAATGGTTAAATATCCCATAGATAACGCTTTGAGTGGTCAGCATTTTTCAAAAGAGAAAAATAAGAAACAAAATTCCCTGTATTTTCCCAGTTTGCAAAAAAAAAAATCAAAATTCCCTGCATTTTCCCTGTTATTTTAGGTAATTTTCAATTCTCTGTATTTTCCAGGTTTTCCCTGTGGAGAGGCAAGCGCTGAATTGGCTTACTTGATGAATTACCGAAGATAGTTATAAATAAAAGTTAAGAGAACTTAGGATTTAATTTATTTTTAAATTCAGTAGTTTCAATGATAATGCATTTCATTTTTTAAAATAACTCATAAGACAGTAGATTATGTCTAAACATAAATAACATAAATATTAAAAAACATATTAGATGTTTATGTGATACGAAAGTTAATGAAATAAACATTTTTGTCATAAACTCACTTTTGAGCAATGTCTGTAAACTTTGGAAGTCTTACGGTTGTACAACCAAGCATTATCAAACATAAGCCAAACATCTTCAACATACTGCCAAGGATCTTGATATTGTCCAGTGTCTAATTTTCTTTTTATGGTAGATAAATCCATTGGCCTTTTAATAATGTCAAAATAATCCTGCAAATACCATGATAATAATGAAGTCAATGGAAGAGTGAAACTTAAGTTTCGTATAGTAATACAATAATAAAAATTGCATTGGTAATGACACTTAATGGAAAATTCTGTGTGTACGGATGTGCATATATATAGCAAAATAAAATCAGTTCTATTGCAACTTTTGATTTTCACGATCTCTTTAATAGCAATCCTCTTTCTAAACTAAAAAATATTCTTTTGAGTAATTACTATGATTATAAAAATATCCTGAATTGCTTTTTAGATTATTGGGACATTTTGATTAGTTTTTGTTTTTTTAATCTTTACAATAACATATTTTTTGTTCAAACTGATGGAATACTGCAAAGATCTAATTATTCATCATTCATAGCTAACTTATTTTTACACTATTATGAAAAAAAATATACTCCTAATTTTAAATTTGTTTTTAGATTTATTGATGATTTAATTATCTTTAATTTTCAAAATTATGCAATTTTGTTAAATAATATTTAACTTGAGGAATTAACCTAGCCTTGTAATCATAACAATAATATTAATTTTAATTTTTGGATTTAAGTATTAAAAAAGAAAATATCTGTATTGTTGAAAATATCAATCAAATGAATATAATTTAAAAGAATTTGTAGTATTGTTTGCTTATAGAAAAAAATAGACAAACTCATCCATAAATTTAATAAAAAAGCAAGGGATATTAAATTAATGTTATTAAATTCTATATAAAATTGTTGACTTAATTGTATGTTTTGCATAATTGTATAACTAAATTTATATTTTTACAAGTGCAAATCCAATTCGGGCAAATCCATGGAGAACATTTAATAAAGAATTTTTTTTAATTTTTTTAAATAAGCATTTTTTTTTCATTTAATGTTAACATTTCATCTAAATTCAACCTTATTAATATTAAAATTCAACCTTATCAATTATAAACTTTGAATTATCCAGTATATTATTACCTTACGCACATCCAGATTCAGGCCAATCCAAGGTAACTAACAAATCAAATGCGCTTCTGTACTTCAGTAAAAACGCGCCATTAGTTGATTCCCTTCATCCTCTATTTACCCTTCTACTTTCATATTTTGTAATCTGGCAAACTTGTTACGAATACATTTTAAATCATTTTTGAGAAATGCCTGTAAGTGTAAGTACATTTGAATTCGCTACTCGCTTTATATATTACATTTCGCGTTTTATTCTTTATTTTCTTGAGTTTTTATTATCTATTTTTGCTTGATAGTTTTGTTTTTATTGTTTCTTTTTTCTATTTTGCATTTTTTGTTAATGGATCCTATTTTCATTCAAATTTTTTTTTTCTGGTGCTCTTCACACTATTGTATTGATATGTTTTGCTTTGACTATAAAAGTACAATATTAGAAAGCACTATTTATTTGGCTATAATCATGTGAGCTGATGACTAGATTATATTTTTTCCTAAATTCATTTTATTTTCAATTTTTTTTTAAATTTTAAAATTTTTTAAATTTTTGAATATTCAAAAAAAAACTTTTTAAATAATTTTTTTCTTTTCCTTTGGGAAATCTTTACATCTTTCTCTTTGTTTTCTCTTATACTTTTAACTTTATATATATATACACAGTGAAACCTCTTGGAAGCGACCACTCTCCATTCCACAGTAAAATGGTCCTTGATGGAGGTTGCTTGTTCTCAGAGGTTACCTCCATTGACTTCAACATTGCTATCGAAAATACATGATTTTTCACAAACAATTTAAATTTTAGTCAGTGTCATTTTCCTGGTGCGGAAATGCCAGTCCTAATGGCGTCATGAAAAGAAGGTACTATGAATACCAATTATGGATGATAAAGCTATTTTAAATAAATAAACAATTATATTTTTTGCTAAAGTCTGCATTTAATTTTATATCAGAAAACTTAGTTAACTTTAAAAGATGAGAAGAGGTGTATTTGTTTGAGATGCTTGGTTTTTCTAAATTAACTATTTTTTTTCTCTAATTTAACTTTCAATTCTATGACTAAAACATTGGTAGCATTGTCCTTAGTGCATTCTGACTCCAACATGAAGGTGTAACACGAAGTTGGATGTATCATTAAAAAAAGCTCTCTAAGAGCCTCATACAAATATTATGAATGCATTATAATATACTTATTTGTTTTGTTTTGATACTTTTTTGCTTCCTTATTTAACCTTTCCCGCATTTAGTGCAGATATTTGCGCAGTCACTGGGAGAGGTTTAAATTGTCTCTCCTAAAGGTTGTCTTCAAAACAAAGACTATGGAAAAAATTACATTTCTCCCAAAAGTAGTCATAAATAGAGATGCTCCTTTCTAGAGGCTTCACTGTATATGTGTGTATGTATATGTATGTATACACACAAAAATATAAATATATAGATGTTAGATATAACCACCCTTAAGGTCCAAATGAAAAGGGATGTTATAACAAAAGGTCGCTATGTCCTGACTACATTAAAATTGGTGCAAATATTTATTTATATTTCATCATAAAGACTAGACTAAATAAGTAAAAAAAATTATACACTTTAAACAGAATTATAAAACTGACTATTATGCAGTATCTTTTAATATTCCACATAAACTTTAACCAGTTATTCAGTGCTTTTTCTAGATTTTGAAACTTTGATTTACAAGAACGGTGTCATAAAATTAGAACTCTCAGTTCTTCTGCTTAGAATCACATTACGAATTTTAATTATTGTAAGCATGTTTTTGGGATCTTGAATAATTTAGCAATTTGGATTTTGCCATTATTTTTTTATCTACTTGCTTTAAAATTTTTTATTTCTGCTCCAAGCATATAGCGTTAAATTGGTTTAAAGCAGCCACTTTCACTAAATAACATACATCCAGAAATCCACATGATTTAACATAAAAATAAGCCACTTCTTAAAGAAGTGTGAATACAATTTTCAAACAGTATGATGGATGAACATATTGAACTTCATTTTTTAAAACAATTTTAAAAGGTAATGTTTATGCAGGAATCTGATTTCTCAATGACTGTGCAATGCTTTTTACTCTCAATAATGGTACCTAATCGATATCTTATAATTCTTTTGACCATTGATTACTCCCAAGAACTTCCTGGGTAAAGAAAATGTGGTCCTGTTACTCTTTCTTCATTCAAAGAGAATTTAAGATGTTACATGATTATTGAGTAGTAACATCAAAAGAAATAGTGGTTTAATAGTTTTCATTCAACTTTTGTTATCGATTGACTCATTGTCAATGAAAAAATGTTAGTTCTGAAAGCACAAAAATGAACACCTGTTTTTGGAATGATTTTCTTATAACTAAAAAAATAAAGAAAACTGTGGTAGCTATGTCGGAATGTAGGTAAATTTGGTTCAGTTCAGTTTGTCAAATGGTTTATATATATATATATATATATATATATATATATATATATATATANTATATATATATATATATATATACTAAAAAATATTTACCAGAATTAATTTTTTTAGTTAGCATCACTAATTTTCAAATTAATTTTTATAAATTTAAATAAAAAATGTAAAAACTAGAAAGAAATTAATTTTAATAATATTATGACTGTAAAACATAAAAAATTTATGTAACGTATGATAAACACATGAGATGATATACACATATTCAATAAAGATTGCAACCGACCACGCAAAAAAATTCTTGAAAACATGTAATTGTTTAAATCCAAACAAATAGTATGAAAGACAATTTATCAACTTATATATTAAATATTGTAAACGTGTTTTTTGAGATCTTGAATAATTTAGCAATTCGGATTTTGACGTTATTTTTTTTATCCACTTCCTTTAAAAAATTTCATTTCTGCTCTAAGTATATAGTGTTAAATTGGTTTAAAGCAGCCATTTTCACTAAATAACATACATCTAAGAGAACGGTATTTTATAAGTGAATTTAAAAAAAGGAAAGAACCACTAAGGAAAATTCCAAATTGGAAAGAGTTTTAAAGCAGAATCTCTTCTGTAACACTTTTAACTAAGGTTTTTATTTTTACAAAATGGAATTTTTTAAAAGACCTATATGAGTGATTTAAAAGATTTTGGAGAAAATAGCAACTTTAAAAGGTAATTAAAAGGACTATATAAAATGCCTTTTAAAATTTTTTTTATTTGAATGCAATTTTAAAGTTTTATGCAACTTTATACTTTAATTTTCATTTATTTACCTATCATCATTTTAACTTTTATTTCGGTACAGAGCAACAAAGAATATCTTCTTATAAACACCATATTAATTATTATTCTCTATTCTTTTTGTAAATAATATAATACCAAAATTGATTTTAAAAACAAATTATTGCATCATAAAAACAATCTTAAGTATTTTACTAAAGGTCACTTTTTCCTGATTTGCAGAAGTCAACTACATTGTGGTGACCCATAACTATTTTCCCTTTTCTTTATGCGTCAATCACAATTTTCACGAAGTGAAACTTTTAATTTGAAACTGAAACCCAAAATTGGGAACTGAAACTAAAATCTGTCTATCAAAATTTTAATCCAATAATATAATTTCTCAAATTAAATCTAGCCAATCATTGCACATTAAAGGTGTGGCTAATTCATTTCTCTGGTGAGATCCGAATCGAACATAGCATCTTTCTCTGCTAAAACTCATTGCAAAAGGACGTGTAGTCCTATCTCTCTATAATCTTATTATTTTGCCGTAGAGTATATGTTTGTGATGTGGTTAATAAAATCTTAATGTTTAACCTGTAAACCTTCTGATACTTTAAGTATACCTACACACCACAATCCCATAACATATAATAACTAGTACCATGTTACTTTAAAGTACTGTGGTTAACTACAGAATTGTTTATCTTTTTCCCCTTCAGTTTCAAAATTCAAACAGTGCTCATACATGAATTAAGTTATGCCAAGGCAAAAATTAATAAATAAGAATATTTTTTAAAGATAATAAAATTGGGTGCAGAATGAAAAACATATTTTAACTTCTACTTCCCTCTTACATTAAGAGAAGATTTTAATTCAGAAAAACCAGTTATAACCCTCACATTTTACTAAGATTAACTCCTTGAAGAGTGGTGTAGGTCATCATATACCCAATAAACAAAATATTCTGAATAAAGGATCTTTTAAAAAGAATTGAAAAAAATTCATTTATTCAAAGCAATATAAAACAAAACGGAAATGCAGCTTTTCCTTGATTAAGTTCTCTTTTTTAAGGGTTTATGACAAATAATGCGAAGGATAAAAAAATACTTACATTAATTATAAAAAGAGCTACAGAAATATGTAGGATTTTTTAAACATATAAATTTCTAAAGGAACACCTTTTTTTAATTTAATATTCCCCCAAATATATCTCAGAATACCAGTCAGAAGACTGCGTATTTAATATGCAATAACTCTACAAACGTTTGTAAAGAATGTAGTTCTAAATATACTTTTTAAGTTTGGTGAAGATTGGTATGTGTTATGAGTTCAACTAACTTAGAAATTGAACTTAGGGAAAAATGCTTATTTAAAATTTTCACAGGACATACAGTGGATTGAAAAAGGTTGTGCAAAAATTAATAATTCAAGTACATTATTATTCAATATACTTTCTTTACTTATGACACCTTGGTTATATCATTTTAAGGTATTAAGGCATAATTTAAACAAAAAACATATATTTTAAATCCAAGGCTGGTCTAACTCCTTACTTTAATAAATTAAACAAACTAAGAACAGCGTCTATTATTTTACTTAGGTCTGAGTAACCTAATAAATGTTAAACTATTTACACTTAAGATGAAATATGATAAGAAATGCACTAAAATAATTTTCATAAGGTAAGTAAATATTCGAATCAAGAAAAAAATATCTATTAACATTGGAAATAATTACTTGTGGTTTGAAAACCAAGGAAATATTTATTCTTAAAAACAAATTCAGTTTCTCTGAAAATGGACTAGCATTGAACAAGTTGCATTGAGCAAGCCATATTATGATTTTATTGAATAAAAAGGATGCATTGTTGTTGTATTGCATGTTTTTCAATGCACAAAATAAATGCTAAAAATTTTCAGAAAATATTACAAATGAAAAAATGGGATATTCTTAATTTTTCTTAAGAAATTCTTCGTCCTTAACATGTTTTTTCAATTTTTTTTTCAATTATCATTCTGATTTTTTTAATGAAAATTCAAATTAAAAATGCTATTTTAGATTTATATACCTTAATTCCTTGAACTTCTAAAGCTAGTCTAATTATCAACACACCTATCATAGAATTAAATAACTATAAAATAAACTAATAAGTTATTTATCCATTTTCATGGATGGAATTTTATCTAAAAAATGCATTAGAATAATATTTATAAGGCTTTAAACAAATTATTTTAAATTTTAAAAAGAAATATTCCAAAAATGCTTCTAGAATTGACAGATTTTAAACTTATTAACAAAAAACTCAGAGTCATATGCTTATTTACTCAAACAACAAAATATGTTAAAAAATGAAATTACAATTTTTTCATTGAATAAATTAGCACAAATTAAATTTTAATAATATATAACAAATATACATAAGCTGTAATAATTATTATAATAAATTACTGAAAGTTTCATGCAGATATTTAAAAAAGGAGTTTTCAATAGATTCAATTGATAAATAAGAGAAAATAAAAGGTTACAGTAAGATACAACAGAAAACTGAAGAACTTGACAACAACACATAATGTACTGTCAATCAAGTTAGAGAAATAACAAACATGCCACAATCAGATTCAATACATTTAAAAGCCATTCGGAATAAATAGAAGTTATGAACATCAAATAGAAGAAGATTGGAATAATTTCTTTTAAAATAAATCAGCTTAAGTAACGAGTAATAAGAAACATTTAAAATATTAAATAGAATATTTTGTACTTTAAGTCAGCCATGCAAAAAAATAAATAAATAAATAAAAATTAAGAACATAAACGTAGGAGAGATCACTTAAAAAAAAGTTACAATGGAAGTTAAACAAAATATTTTTGGAAACTGTAGAAATTAAGAATGATGGAAAAGTAAACAACACTATAAAATATAATGGAAATAGAAAAACATAAAATTTAACCTTTAACTTACACAGTAAATAAATCTGGTTCAAACTAAAGAAGGTGTATAAGAAGTACAAATACATTTTAGGGGGGAAAGACATAATTAAACCTTGTAATTAAATAAAACTAATACTCCCATGAAATGATGAATAAAGGCTGTTTCCGTACCATTGAATCCTGTCTTTTGACATATGAAGGACAGTCTTTTCCTTTTGTCTATTGGAGGAGGAAAGACTATAATTTGGATATAGATTTATAAAACATGGATGTTTTATGTTTTTAGCAATGCAAATTTATTGCAAATATAGCTATACCTTCCTTTCAAAGCTTTATCCATGTTTACTATATCTTATCCAACAAGAAAGAAAGTCACAATTACAATTTGCTTTCTAATGTCAAAATTCAAAAACTTTAAATATTAGTACAAATTAACAAAGTGAATAATAAAATACAATTCACCATAAATAATTTTTGACAGACCAGAAAAATATAAAACATAAAATAAAACTGTCAAAAAACTAATAATCCAATTAAATCATATCTAGATAAGAATTTTTTTGACCCAAGACTTGCAATATTATGGATCAAGCATCAAAAAATAATGAATTAAGGATGGTAGACAGTGAATGGAAGGATATTGCTACTATGCATTCATTAAAAACCAATAGTGATAGTCATTTCAAACATTAAGCTATATGCAAGTAATAAGGGCTGTAAAGGGAAAATAAAGTCAGTTTGGATAGCTTATATAGATTATAATAACACAAGCATCTGATAAATTGAGCATATTTATGAGAAAAAGTCTTTAAAAATGAAAAATGTAAAAATTATTCATTTATTATAAGTCCTAAAATATATTAAAATACACCAAGACCTCATAATTGCACGCTATTTTAAAGATACTTTTAAACTTTAGTTGCTTTCATTTATTCAATTTATCATATATTGCTTATTGCTGCGTCTAAAGTAAGTTGCACTACAAATTAGCAAGAATATAAAATAAAATGTTGATAAATGTTTCTTTAACTTATTATTTTACCCTACGGAAACTTTTTGACAGAAAACATAACTATTAAAAAAAAACATTTCACTGTCAGTAGTCAAATTTTACTATGTGATTAGTAACTAAAAAAGATTTAACTGATTTCAGCACTGCACCCTCTTTAATAGAATGAACTATAATTATTCTCTCTTTTTACACATATGGCGGTTCTTTGTATATTAAACCTAAATTAGGGACTGTCAATAAGAAAACCACAAGGAGGTGCAGACACTTACACCCATTCCAAAGAGATGAAAAAATGTCTGTAACAAACACTAAGGGTTCAAAAAAGGGTGACTGGACCAAGTTTACTTGCAACACTATCAGTCCATTATAAGGATAAATAGACCTCCAGTCATGGTGATTTCATGCTAAAATATATTATGGAAAATTCTCTGTTTTTAACACTCTTTTAGTTAATAATTTATCAGATCGCTCTTATGTTTCTAATTTCAAAACTCATAAATATACACATAACATATTAAATATGTTCATTAGGATTCAAAGCTCGTCATTCAATTTTAAAATTATGAGATCTATTATATAAAAACAAATTATAAATTACCTGCACAAAAACAAAATAATTTTAATAAAAAGTTTTACAAAAGTATAATATATATTCATTCAAATTAATAAAAAAATTACTTAGAGTAGAACAGTACCAAATACTAAGCATATCCAAGTACAAAACTTAGTTAAATAAAAAGAGATGTAACTTAAATCTGTACATCTTGGTCAGTAAAACAAAGTAAATAATTTTTATTAAATTCAAAAAGAAAAAATCCATCTTAACTAGTTTTCTTTCCTTCATTGTGATAGCTAAAAGAAAATGCATGAATTCAGAAGTTATGTATACTAACACTATCTGCACTTTAAAGATGCTTTTCATTATTGTTATTTATAAATTTTATTTTCACTTAACTTATACTTCGTACCTAAATTAAACAAAAATCTAATTTCAAAATCCACTTCAAAAAATTCAAAAGTTAAAATTACACTTTTCAACAGAAAACATTTTTTCAAAAATTAATCAACAGCCAAATCTTATACTTGGGTATGACTAGCATTGCAGTACTGTCATATTTCTATTAAGTATAAGCTTTCCAAACATTGAAATCAATTTTTAAAGAAATACATGTTAGCAAAGTAAAAAAATATCCTAAGTGAAAAATAATCATGCGCATCAAAATTCAGCAGAGAAAATTTTTAAAAAAATTTATTAAATTAGACATTTTTTTTCAATTTGTTATTAAGAAAATAAAAAGAAATTTGAAAAGTATAAACTGAAGGTTCATTTAAATATAATTATAAACCAAAAATATGATAAGAAAATCATAACAAAAATTGTATCAATCTGAATGTAAGCCAAATAAAGGAAGTTCTAATATTAACTAAGAGGCATGACTAAAAGAAATGTTTGTGTTTAACTAGTGCATGATAAAATAAAATAAAAAATACTGATTGTGACATGTTTTTTCTTCTTTTTTTTACTATTATTTTTCAAAGCCAGGGAATGGAATGTTAATTTTGAAAAATATAAAACAAAAAACATAGTTACTGGAATCTGCAGCAGTTGAGGGTCAACTGGTTGACGAAAAGGCAAAGACTCAGGATCTTGCTTGTACAGTTTTTCTAAAGTAGGCATTAGCGCTTGACGTAATTCATCTGGCTTAAAAACTAAGAAAAATTATTTTATTTTAATGTGATCTGCATGTTCAAAGTTTACGTTTACAAAATATATAGTGTTCAACATTACTTAAGACTTCAAAGTGCACAGGTAATATATTAAATAAATCATACTCCCATACAGTTTATTTCAAATTAATTAAGCTATCATACTAATTGATTTAAATTAATAAAGTAATCACACAGTTTATTTTAAATTTCAAGATTCCTAAATTACTTATATTTGCAGAAAAAATTCAAGGATACCACTTTTTACTCATTTAAATTTGCTGCTTATGCATATGTTGGTTGCTTTGTAAAAATATACTACCACAAAACATTGATTGTTAAAAGATTTAGCAATAGCTAAAACTTGTTTCACCTAATAATTTTATTCAGTCTAATTCGCAGCTCTTAACTGAGACGACCTGAAAAAATAAGATAAGCGTCATTTTCGCTCTTCGTATTTGATTATATGTTTTGTTTTTTCCTTGTTTCCAGTGTCCTACCAGTGCTCTTTTATTTTCCATTTATTTTAACTTTTTACATTATACATTAATAAAAAAATTTTTACTTAAATATACTAATTTTAAAAAAATATTATATCAATTAATATTTATACAGTATACCCTCGATATATCAAAGTTGATATTCCTTTCAACTAAAAATATTTCGAGGTAGCGAGTTTTCGAGATAAGACATTCAGAGCAAAATTTTCTCTAAAGAGTAGAAAAATATATTCTAAAATAATTCTCGTAAAAGTTAAGAGTCATGAAACATAAGAATAACTACTAATAAATATGTATGTAATGATAGTTGACTCTAAGTTGAAATACAGCAATGATAATTTTATTTTTAAAAGCAAGACAAAAAAAAATTATGCATTAAACAAGAAAGAATTGATTAAGCAATAAACTTACAATGTGATTTTTCTGAAAAAATTTATATTCTGTTTCGAAAAAATATTCAACATGAAACGTTTTGAGAAGAAAATCTTCAACATAGGAATTAAAATTAATATTAGCTGGAAATTTTATGCCAAGAGGAAAAACATTTTTTTTCGACATAGCAAGGTTTTCAAGATATAGAAGTTCGAGATATCGAGAGTATACTGTAGTTTATTTTACTATGTTATTACATTCTAAAAAAAGGGTCAATTTTTTTTTGCATATATTTCATGAACAATAAAAACAATGTTCACTGAATATTTTGAAAGTTCATCATTTCTGTGCAAAAGTTATATGTTTGCAGAATGCATCAACTTCATTTTGTGATAAAAAAAACACCTTACTACAAAATTTGTCATTTATTTCTAAAACTTCCACACAAAAAATCACATTTGCACTTCTATATGTAAAGTTGTAAATAAGTAAATGATAGATACAAATTTCTTTCTTAACTACATAAAATGGAGAGTTAATTCCGTAAATTTCAATTATTTGAATCCCTTTTTTCTGAATGCAATGGCTAACCAAACTGGGTCCTGAAGTGTCCTTTCTTCTGAATACAATGGTTAACTTTTTTTTTTACAGCCAGCACTTATTTTTTCATTTTTTATATTAAATCTCGCACCAAAAGTTTGGATACTTTTCCCCCAAATTAATTGTGTATGTATTGTAAATTCTTTTGATCATATGAAATGGGCTGGGTCCCAATTACTTTTAATAATTGAGGTTCTACTATTATTTACATTTTTTAACTTATAGTGATAACTTACTTTTTTTATTTGTTTTTACTTTAGGAGTAAGTTGAGAAGAATCAGACGATGAATCAGGTTTTAAATCTATACCATTTTCACTCACAGTTGGTGCAGGGGTAGGGCTTTGCACTTCTTCTTTAACAACAGCTTTCATTTCTTTACCTGAAGAACTATTAGAAAAAGAAGGTTCTTCTTCCTTAATTTCACATTTTATATCAAGTTTACCAGAAGGTTTAGTATCCATGTTGACATTTGATTCACTGCATGCACTTTTGACATCACTATCCATTTCCATTTTTTCACTATTTTCGGTAGATTTTTGGGAGGCAAAAGCAAAGACTTTGCCTCCAGTTTGCCCAGAGTCTTGATCTGACGTAGTAGAAACAGGAGTAGTTGAGCTTTGAGTATCTAATTGACTAACTGATAAAACATTTTCTTGAGATACAGGTACTATAGGTTTAACATCTTCACTACTATCATCTACTGTGACAACAGATGTCTGAGAAAGTTGAGATGTATGTGTTTGTGGAGAGGGTGTTGGTGGTTGAGTATTAGGAACTGAAGGAGCTCTAACTGGTTGAGATAGAGGAGGTTGAACAGACTGTGGCTGAGGGGTAGCTGTCTGAGGAATTTGATTACCAGGTGCCTGAGATGGCATTGGAGAGGAAAGTTCAGTTTGAGGTTTCTGTATTGCTACATTAAGTTGTATCTGGGTTGGTTGTTTTTGGGAAGATTGTGTGTGGTTTTGAGACTGCTGATTCAATAAATGAACCTAAAATGATACATTTTAACATTGAATAGAACATTTAAAAACTAATCACACATATGAAGATCAAAAGAACTTAAAATGATTCGCTGAAGAGTGACATCACTAAATTTAAGCAAATACCTGTGAATTTAAGTTAGGTGCCATGACAAGTTGTCCTTGAGTATTATGGCCAATCAATCTAGGATTCGGTGGTTGAGATTGAGGTAACTATAGTCAAAAGAAAATTAATTTAAATTATATTGAAAAATTAACGAAAGTTGATAAAAATATGTAACTGAAGCACTTATTAGAATGCTAGAACAACTATATATTTCACAGAGTAGGAAATATTAATATAGAATGTTAAATAAAACCAGCATTTTGTTTTGTAACATACTAAATGCTTATAGTTGGAAAATGTTTATAAAGATAAAAATTTTTTTTAACAAAAGCTAGACTTGAACGAAACTGAAATATAAAACAGGATGAACAAAAGAGGCTATTCAAACTTAATATATTAATTTAAAAACATATCTTTTATAGAAATTATGATCTTTAAAAATTATGCAGATAAAACACACATTTTCAAAAACTTAAAATATTACAAGTTAAATTCTCGTTAATAACATGGTTTCGGATTAACCGGCTTGCATACTATCAAGCCTTGTAAAAAATTTAGGAGTAAAAGAACCGCTATTTGTACAACTCCTTGTGGTAGGTGGAAAAGGCAAATGAGGAATGCTAAAGTAGTCGTCTGTAAATATTGCCTTTTCTCAGAAAATAGATTTTCACATTTTTAGTTTATTAATAAATGTCAAGTACTTTTGCACTAGGCAATTGTCTTAATGTTTAACATATAACTGATAAAAACTATTAAAAAGTGGAACAGATTTTTTTTAAAAAAAAAAAAGAACAAAATAAGTGATGCCTATACACAAATAAGGTATAATAATAGCTAAAAGCTCTTCGTGGACACATCTTACATGATGTGTCCATGACTATGATGTTGTAAGGCAGAGGTGCAGTGATCGCGTTTGTTGAAGGTTGTAGCATAAGGTTTTGAAACATCCTAGGTTAGTCCAATCCTTTGGTATGCTGCCCTGGTCAAAGCCACAAAAGGGCAATAATGCCACCTCAAAACCATTATTTGAGACTTCTAGTCAAAAGGGATAGGTTAGCGACAGCGAAACAACTGTCTAGCAACCTGTATTAATGAAACAGGAACATTCATTTCACGGATAACAGTCGCCCAGAGATTCAACACTGTGGAATCGTATTTTAATGGGCTATTTTGTTATAGGGCTTACCTTTTTGTCACGTTCGACTACACAGTCGGTAGCCTTATGTCTATTACTAACATAAAAACTTCAGCATTAAGTATAAACAACTACTAAATTACATAATAAACTTGCTATCTAGAGCTCTGCAACAAATTTTCCAGATAAAACCTCTGTCTTAAAAGCATTTGCTATAAAAAGCATATCATTAATTTGTTGATCAGGGAATTTCTAAACACCAATTAATAAATTGATAAGTCTTAAAAAATGTCTTCCTCAAATTTGAAATGAAAATAAAGAAATAATTTTCTTCACTTTTCTCTTTCACTTTTAGCTATTGAGATTTAACCAACTGTTAATAATCCTAAGAATTACAACAGCAAAAAAAAAAGAAAGAAAGAAAAATTTAAGTTATCTCTGCAATAAGTGCCATATTTTACTATTACCTTAGTTTATAAACTTAAGTCCTAAAAACTTGTTTTAGGAATTATCAACGGTGGTCATTCAATAACCACTATGAAATCTAGGAAACTCAGATATCTGACATTGTAAAAGTCCTAAAGAATAATTGATACCAGAGATCACAATAAGGTATGCAAAGGAATTAGTGAATAAATTAGATACAAAAAGAGAAGGTGAGTGATCAAATTGTGCCTTTCTTTGTTACAGAAGATTGTAGGCACTGAGTAGGGTTAGTATTAAAGTTGAGTGGCTGGCCTAATTTTGAAGCTTTAATCCTTTTTCCAAACAAGCTGGGCTTTTGACTATCAGCCAGTAAGAGAATAGCGTAGTGACACACAGCTAAATGATTTTAGATCAAGACCATTTTAACAACAAGAAACACTTTTTTTCCTTCTCACATAACAAATTAATGAAAACAATATATATATACTCGGTTAATTTGTTACTTTTATAAAATTTAGACTTCTTTAAAACATTATAAACAGTTAAAAGTTATTAAATAAACAATATTTTTTTCAAATATAGGACAGTAATAATTAAACGATGTTTAAAACCTTATTGCTAATGTTTTAAGACTGAAATTTTCAAAGCCTTGAAAAACATTTTTGTGGCACATATAATTGTAGATTTTTTATGCCTTATAGTATGGGTGTATCTGGGAATGAATTTGGAGTCACACACTCACTCATTCAAACATGCACAATACAACACTCATTATGAATGAAAAATCATACTAACATTAATTTGTCTTGTCTTGAAAATATCAGATATCGGAGAATGATTTTGCTGTACATTAGAACTAAATTGTGAAATAGATATACTACTAAGAGTAGATATTGAAGAGGGTTCAGATGTAGAAGTAGCTATTGTAGTGGTAGGTTGATTTAAGCTATTGAAATGAGTCTGTAATGGTTGCTGTAAGTTAGAAACCGGTAAAGGATTTTGACGAGTTTGAGATTGGTTAAATTGACCCTGATTTAATGTCATATTGATATGGGTGTTTAAAGAGTTAGACATTTGAGTGTTAGATGGAGAAAATGGTTCAGAGCTTTTTGCAACTGTATTAGTAGGAACAGTTATATTTGGTGGTGGCATTCTCTGTTGACTACTAGGTAATGTACTGCTTGAAAGATGTGGCTTTGATAGCGCACCTGCAGCTGGAAGTTCTGGAAGAAAATATAAACAAAATGAGAACTATTAAAAACATATTACATTATAATGTAAGAAATCTGTATAGAAATTGACTTTTCAGAATGAAATCAAATGAATTTAAAAAATAATCTAACAAAGAAATAGAAATTCTTTATGCCATTAATAACTTAACAGTTTATCCTTGACATTAATAAATTAACCTCAATTAGTAGTTAATTAATAAAAAACAATCATTAGTTTTAAAATTAATTTAAAGATGAGTAGCTTTCTAAAAAAGAAGCTTTAGAACATATATTCTCAAATTTTTAACACAGGGCTACTCCTTTTTATAGTAATTTATTGCTTTAAAGTAAATAAACATGCGTTGAAAAATAATAATAAAAATAATAATAAACATAATGATGATAAAAATATAAAACTTATATATTTGGTTAAAAAAGATTTTTATATAGGCAGGGTTGCCACAGTAAAAAATGAACAAAAATAGTTGCTTTTAGTTGCCTTAAGCATGAAAATAGTTGCCTAAAACTATGAAAATAGTTGCCTGAACAGGAACAAAAATTTATCAAAAATAGTAGCCAAATAACTAAAATTATAGCTTAATTGTCAAATACTATTATTAGGACTGGGTGATGTCAGAAATTTTAAATCGTGATACATCGTCAGTTAGACATCCCGATATAGTGATGTATCGCAATTTAGCATTTGTTCAAAAATTACCTATGGGAAATATTTAAATTAATCAAAAGGAATAAATATAGTACAAAAGAAAATATTAATTCTAAACATATTTTACTACGACATCAATATCATTGCTTAATTTTTTCAATTAAATTAATAAAGAAGTCAAAGTAAATGCAAACCCAAATTTCATTTTTCTTAAATTAAAAATGATTTAAGATTCATTGGTTTAAAAATAATAATACTGTAACAATAAAAAGTTGAAATAATAAAAAGTAGTATTAACTAATGGTCAAATTGTGTACTTAATAAATGCAAATATATTTTTACTTATTTATTATTATTTTCATTTTTGAAAATAAAATCAACTAAAGATTTATTTGTTTAAAAATGATACTGACTATCAAGCAAATTATAAAACAAACAAGTATTGAAAGAATTTTAATAAAAATTTTAAAAAAATACTTCAAGTACTAATGTTAAATTATTAAAAACTNGATTGTAATCTAATTCCGGCGGCTTAAACCAGATTTCTGATGTATCGACTAAAACGAAAGTCACTACATCGGCCTACTGATATATGCGTTAAATCAATATTTCGCAATACATCGATTTATCGCCCAGTTCTAACTATGCTCCAATAAAAAAAAAGTTTTGTACAAATATAAAAGGTATACATATTAGAAAATAGGTACCTAAATAAAAGTCTAATTACAATAAAATATGAATGTTAATAGAAGGAAAAAACAATTAAAAATAACAAAACTGCCCCTCAGAGAGAGCATATAACAAGTACTTTATTAAATCCAATGGAAATTTAAATTTATGGCTCTTTGGAAATAAATGATTGTATAAAAGTTTGCTTTCTTCAGGGTTGCCACAGCAAAAAAGGAGCAAAAATAGTTGCTTTTAGTAGCCTCAAGCAGGAAAATAGTTGCCTAAAACTATGAAAATAGTTGCCTGAACAGGAACAAAAATTTATCAAAAATAGTAGCCAAATAACTAAAATTATAGCTTGATTGTCAAATACTATGATTAGGAATGGGTGATGTCAGAAATTTGAAATCGTGATAAATCGTCCGTTAGACATTGCGATATAGCATATGTTCAAAAATTACCTATGGCAAATCCTTAAATCAATCAAAAATAAATAAAAAAGAATAAATCTATTACAAAAGAAAATATTAATTCTAAACATATTCCACTATGACATCAATATCATTGATTAATTTTTTCAATTAAAATAATAAAGAAGTCAAAGAAAAGCAAACTCAAGTTTTATTTCATTTTCCTTAAATTAAAAATGATTTAAGATTTATTGGTTTAAAAATAATAATAATACTGCAACAAAATATTTTACATACATGCATTAAAAATTAGAAGAAAACGAAAGTAGAAAACAAACAAAAAAAAACTTTCACTTTCAAAAAAAAAAAAAATTTTTAATTATTTGTTGAAAAAAAAATCATGCTTTTGAAAGATCATTAGACACTCTTTTATTTAAAATAATAAAAAGTAGCATTAAGTAATGATTAAATTCTGCACTTAATAAATGTAAAAATATTTTTACTTATTTATTATTATTTTCTTTTCTGAAAATAAAATCGACTAAAGATTTATTTGTTTAAAAATGATATTGACTATCTAACAAATTATGAAATAAACAAGTATTGAAAGAATATTAATAAAAATTTTTAAAAAAAAATATTTTAAGTACTAATGTTAAATTATTAAAAAGCGTCAAAACATTACTAAACTCTTTATTTAACGAAAAAAAAATATTTTTTTAACCAATAGCCAAATTTTTTTAAAACTTTGTTTTCAGTTTCTCAAAAGTAAAAGCAAATTAAATGAAGTTAAGCTTTGTTTTAGTTTTTTTATAATTAAAAACGACTGAAAACTTATTGGTTTAAAAATAATCAAATTATTATACTTACCTAGATTAAATAAATTTAAAAAAAATAACTTTTATACAACAAAGTAAAATACAAAATACCCCTATTAAATTGTATCACTTAAAATGAAAAACAATAATTGGAAAAAAAAAACAATGAAGAATCTTTTTTTTATTTAGTTATAATTTTTTTTCATTGATCAATTGAGTTTAGAACGAAAATTTAAGATAACCGGGATTGTGCAGCAATCGCAAAGTAACAGTAGGTCTACTAAAAATAATTGACAAGAATCGTTAAATCCAGATAGAAAAAAAAAAAAAAAAACTGGCATGAAATAATGCAGAACGAAACGATCACTAAGTAGCAAAAGTCTCACTGAAAATAATTTACAAGAAACCTGACAATTATTCCCGACGAAATAAAATTCACAACAATCGTAAAATGACTAAAGTCCCATTGAAAATAATCTTCAAAAAACGCAAAATCCCAAAGACAAAAATGGACATAAAGAAACTATGCATTGCTTTCTATATTACAACGTTGATCCTCGCACAAAACCGGGAGTTCTGATTCAATTCAACATCACAAAACTAATGACGTCTTTATAGCTAAACGCTTTCTACATCTCTGCAGCTAGACTAAATCAAAATTGTCTTCGTCAGTGCTGTAACAGCATTAGCGTAGTCAAGGATCCGTGCATATTAAATCGTTAAAACCATGATTGCAGTCTTATACCAGTGGCTTAAATCAGATTTCTGACGCATCGCCTAAAACGAAAGTTACTATATTGGCCTACCGATATACGCGTTAAATCGATACTTCGCGATACATCGATTTATCGCCCAGTCCTAACTATGCTGCAATTAAAAAAAAGTTTCATACAAATATAAAAAGGTTAAAGGTTAGAAAATAGGTAACTAAATAAAAGTCGAATTACAATAAAATATTAATGTTAATAGAAGGAAAAAACAATTAATTAGAACTAAACAGCCCCTCAGAGAGTAAAAATAACAAGTACTTTACTAAATCTAATGGAAATTTAAATTTTTGGCTTTTTGGACATAAATGATTGTATAAAGGCTTGCTTTCTTTTATTAACGTTCTGAAAAGTAATGTTCATTTTTGAGAAAAAACTTCGCCAAGAGTAAAAAAAAGTCTCCTAATAGTCCCCTATTCCTGAAAATAGTTGCTTTTTTAGCCTTTTCAGGCAAAAAAAGTTGCCATAGTCGCCCATGGCCAAAAATAGTAGCAAATAGTTGCATTTTAGTAGTCTGTGACAACCCTGTACACATTATTCTGAGAGCTGATATTATTCAGAGTTCAAGCAGTGGCAATATATGATATATACTGCTTATTTTTTATATTACTATATTACTTTTATATTACTTTTTTATATTACTATAGTTTATTTTTTGTTCATTTGTTTCATGCTCTTTTTCTCTTTGTCGTAATTGCAGACTACCTTCAATCATGCCTTGTGCAAGTCTAATTCCTTGCATATCTTTAGCCTAAGGGCTTCTTTAAGTCTTTCATTCGCTTCTTCTGACAACCTGTCAGCGGTTTCTTTCAGTGGAGGTGAAATAACAAGGGAGAGGTTAGCGTGATGACGCCACTGAGTACTACGCACATGCTAGGCGGCACTACGTACGTGTTAGAAAGGGGTCTGAAAAGTAACATTCATTTTTGCAAAAAAACTTCGCTAAGATTAAAAAAGTCTCCCAAAAGTCTCCCAATTTTAGTAGTCTGTGGCAACCCTGTTTCTTTTATTAACGTTTTGAAAAGTAACGTTCATTTTTGCAAGAAAAAAAACTTCGCCAAGAGTAAAAAAAAAAGTCTTCTAATAGTCGCCTATTCCTGAAAATAGTTGCTTTTTTAACCTTTCCAGGCAAAAAAATTCGCCATAGTCACCTAAGGCGGAAAATAGTAATAAATAGTTGCATTTTAGTAGCCTGTGGCAACCCTGTATAGGTATACCTAAACTTGGATGTCTTTATTTTTTCTGCTTAATAGAGCACTGTATCCTAGCCAATAAAGCATTTATTTGCTGATATACAAATGTCCTCATTGTTAAAAAGATAACAAGATAAATGTGCATAACCTGAATACTAGCGTACAATTATTATTTAGAGGAATGGAAACAATAAGATAATTAAAATTCTCTTTCATTTTGAGCTAAGTTTATTAGTATTCAAAATCCCACGTTTTGAGTGCATGATACAAAATAAAATATAAAAATTAAAAGTACAATTCTTTTCAAAAAAAATATTAATTTCTTCGCCAAAAATCCCTAAATCTTATAACACTTTTATATATTTTTTAACATTGAGTTTTGTCTTTGTACATATATGTTCACTTATAGTGTTATCCCTAAAAGACAGGGTAAACGCAATTTGAAAGTTGCACACATTGGAAAATATTCATAGAAAACAAAATATAGTATACTTCTATTTTAACAGCAAACCAGTATTTATAGTTTGACGAGAATAGATATAATGCTAATGTCCAGTATAGAAATATCAATTTAGCAGTGAACAAGAACATATAAATTTTATTGACTACAAAAACTTTAAAATAAATTTTCATCTCATAGAAAATTGGAGATGGAAATATTGTAGCTCAAAGGATGTTAATTAGGATATTGAGTATACGTTGTGTATTTAATAACAATGATAGGAAATTTAAAAAAAAACTCATCATATAAAGAAGGCATTGCATTCTAATATCTATAACTAAAAAAAGATTCATTAACATGGCCATCTAAAACAATAAAATGTTATGTAACATTGTAATTAGTTTACGCACTTGGACTTGGTGTCCCTGAGTTATTCAGTATAGGTCCAATACTGGATCCCACTTGCTGCTGCATTTGTGCCTCCTTTCTTTTCTGACGTATTTCGTCAAGCTCTTTTTGTATTTTATATATCTTTTCTGCAAGCAACTGGTAATATTCTTCCTGTTATAAAAAAGTACTTTTTTATAAAATAAAAATAATTACACAGTAATACTTTTTTATCACACAGAGTGAACAGACGCATTATAAGAGTAAAATAATTAACAACAGATTATTGCTTTCAAATACCTATCATGAAATTAAAAACAATTATAATGTAAAAGTTTTAAAAAAAATTAGAAAAATTTTAAAATTTCAAAAGTAATTCAATTCACAATGCAGGGATGAGAGTAGTCAGAAAGTAAAAAAGAGGAAATCCAAGAATGAATGAATATATATATATATATATATATATATAGATAGATAGATAGATAGATAAAAATTGTATGAATATGAATCACATCTATTATTTTAAAATCACATGAGTAAGTATTGCAAAATTTGATTTAAATTTGAGAGGATATGAATCCCGATATGTGGTTTTTAAATCACGTGAATATGAAACTCTATATAGAATTTTAAAAATGCGAAAAAACAAATCATGATGCGTAATTTTTAAATCGCGTAAATATGAATCATGATGCATAATTTTTAAATCGCGCGAATACGAATCCCAACGTCTAATTCTTAAATTACGTATAAATACGAAAATAGATGTTTGATATTACAACCGCATAAACCAGTGTTTCCCAAACTTATGAGTTTTGTGTACCCTTTCTAAATTTTTCGTAACGCTGTGTACCACTAATAAAAAAATTTATGCATTTCTTACTATAAAAAAATTGAACTAAAGTTAAAAATCACAAATGGCTGTTGATACTAGTAATTATTTACTGTTAATTCTGCAAAAAATAGCCAGAAAATAAAAATAGAAAAATATGTAATCGTTAATTTTCATGGCCAACTTTATTTTCATGGCCAACTTTATTTTTAAATAAAAAATTTTGAAATTTTCGTTTGTTGCAAGATATTTCGCATCAGAACGCGTACCCCCGCTAAACTGTTCCCGTACCCTTGGGGGTACGCGTACCACACTTTGGGAAACACTGGCATAAATGAATCCCGACAATGGATTTTAAACTCGCATGAATACAAATACCTACATAGGGTTTTAAAAACGGTTTAATACAAATCGCGATATTGGATTTTTAAATCTAGTAAATAAGAATCGTAATGTACGATATTTAAATCGCATGAATAAGAATCGCAACAAGCAAGTTTTAAATCAGGTAAATACGAAAATCGATGCTTGATAATAAAATCGCGATTTTAAAAAACCTTAAATACAATCGCATATTTAAATCTTGTAAATAAGAATAGCAATATACAATTTTTAAATCACGTAAATAAGAAATGGAATGCACAACTTTGAAATCAGATAAATACCAAAATCGATTTTTTTATACTAAAATTGCGTGAATAAGAATCAAGATATTAGCAGATTCTGGGCTTGGGAATTCTAAAAGGCTTGTTTGTATTGTTTTTGTTTAGCCATAATAAATAAAAATTTACAGGATTAATTGAATGAGCAAATAAATATTTTCACCGCAAATCCACCGCTATTTTATTTTATTATTTCATTTGCTTTCGCGCCAGCAAACAGGAAGCAGCGAGACATCTGAATTACGACAATAGGAGCTATCTGGCAGATGGGTAAAAATACAGAAAATCTTATATTTTGTGAGTAAAAAAAGTTAAAATAGCTAAAATAAGAAAAAATTCGGAAGGGTTAACAGCTACGGTGTAGTGTGAATTTTATGTTTATCTTTGAAAATCGCAAATAAATATAATTATTTTATTTCAACAACAGCATTTTCAGAAAAACCGGAATATTTATAAAAATAATAAAAGTTTTAAAGAATCGGAGTGTTTGATAAAAAGGCTGAAATTTGAGAGACAAAAGTGAAAATACGCTAAAAAGCGGAAAAATCTCATCCCTGACAATGTAAAGCACTGATAAATGTAATGCTCATGATTGACCTCACACCCAGTAACTAAATTTCCTAAAGTTAAAGAATTCAAAAATGTTGCGAGACAGATTAAATATATCAGATAGCTGGACAAAAAAAAAAATTTAAATCCAACAATAGAACAGAATGATAAAAATATTTTATCTTACAGGATTTTATAGGATTAAATGGACAGATTTCATAATTCACCACAAAACAAATTATTACATCCATAAATGCTACAACTTTATACGAGAGTATAAAATTATTAGGAGACATGAACAATTTCATGTGATACTTAGATTTGGAGATTAAACAACTTTCTAGGAGCAAATATTCTGCATCAATTTCATTATTACTTACATAAAAAAAACATTGTTTAAAGAAATATTCTGCATCAATTTCATTATTACTTACATAAAAAAAACATTGTTTAAAGAAAATTCTTTTATAATCTAAATTTTACATTGTTTACATTTAAAAAAAAGTTTCTGCTTTAAAATCAGATCATTAAACAAGAGTAATAAGTGAAGATTCAAATCATTCCAATGCCAAACATGAACATGACATGAACAAATTTCAAACAAGGAAAGATTTTTTTTAAAAAAACTAATTAATTTCTCAAAATAATTTACTATTACCCTTTAAATGTTGAGCCCCTGGACAAATTTGTATATAAATTTTCCAGCTACACATAACTTACTTGTGGAATAACATGGGAAAACTGTCTATTCAATAACATTGTCACAGAAAAAGGCCGGGAAAGTTAATACTAAAATTTTAACTCGAACACTGTAACACAATTTCTCATGTAATTACTAAGCAAATAAAGTCATTTAGGATTCATATAACAATCACACTAATTTTTTTAAAAATAAACTCAGAACTAAGGCACAGTGAGAATTCATCAATGAAGAGTAGTGCAAGTCAGAAAGAGTTGAAAACTTGAAAAATATAAATCAGATTTTAAACTAAAAGAGTCAATATAATTTTATTACTAAAAGCCAGAGAGTATAAAATAGAGACTATTTTAGAAATGAAGAAAAAAATTAGCGAGACAAAATCAGAAATACATACTCTACTATTAGCAGCTTCATACATGTCTCCTTCAACTTTTCTGGCATATGCTATAAGATTAATCATTCTCTTGTCTTGTAATGCAGATATATCAGTTGTGGGAAAAATGTCTTGTACTCTGCAATAAACCATGAAACAATTAGATAGCATCATACACTTTAACAATTTAACCAAAAAGATTATTAAAAATTATTTACACAGTTTGATCAAAACATATATAAATAACTCACTAAGTAGTAGAGATGGATCTGTATCAGTGTATATGATATTTTGTAATTAGCTAAATAGCAGCACAATTTTGTACCTGAACCACTTAGTAGACAAAGTAGACAAAAGAGGAAATGAATCAAAATAGCAGTTCCACTCATATCAGTTAGAATGTACCAACTCTAGGAAAAAATAATTACTTCAAACTTAGTTCCTGCCTGCTAGATTCATATCAATCAGTCATCTCTTATAATTCTCAAGTTTTAAGTGTGAGAGGTTAATTTTCAAACTGATGCATGGGAGTTGATGCCTGAAGATTGACACAGATTTCCTTTTGTTTCTTCACAGAGAATCATGAGTTTCTTCGATAAAACAATTTTTTTTTTTTCAAATTGTATTTTAATATTTTTTTCAACTTGCAAATAAAAGGATTTCAACAAATGTAAAACTAGTTACAGTACAGAACGCGTTATCCGGAAATCAGAAAACCGGAAAACCAAAAAACCGGAATGAAATTCGATACATTTTCCAGCCATTTTTAAAAAAAAAAAAATTTTTTTTCCTCATAAGATTTTAGGATTTTTCTTTCTTTCTTGAAAGATATTTACCTTACCATCATTTTGGAAATAACCATTAGTGTCGTAATATATAACTTCATCGTTTTTTCTTCTTTTTAAGATTATTTCCAAAAAAAAATTTTTTTAGTTGGGTTTAACAATAAAAAAACGGCTTTTGTAGCGATTCAGAAAACCGGAAAAATCAGTTATCCGGAATATCGATGGTCCCGATCGTTCCGGATAATCGGTTCCCTACTGTATTATGTTTCATAACTAGCATCATATTGTTCATCATACGAGAAGGCTTGGACACTTAAAGACAACCCAATCCAGCAAAAATTGGCATTTAAGAAACTCTTAAGTGTCAGAAAAAGACGACAGCTACCAGTTATGTGTCTTGATAATGTTAAAAAAAGACTTTAACATGCTGAGTGTTAAAAAATTGAAATCTGTGGCAAAGGAAAAGCTATAAATTAAAAACTCTCCCTCAATAAAGTATGATTCAGATCAATGTGTATCTGATAATAAAAGTATCAGTTACTTACAGTAACCGATTCTCAGCTTCATTAATATCAATTTGTAACGGATACAAAAAAAAATTGGTATTTACTCATTTCTACTCAGTCGGTCATGTGTGATATTTATATAAACTAGGTATTGAAACATTATTAGGAATTTTTTTAAAAAAATTGCTAGTCATACATTTTTGCTAAATTTATAAATGCACTTAACTTCTTTTCTCATATATAACTTAAAGTCAGAATCTTCTATTATTTTTTTTATACCTTTTCTGCTTATTTTTCTTTCTTTTTTTACAAATAAAATGAGGTTTTATTGGATAGAATCTGGTATTTGACAAAAAATTATAAATAAATAGTCAAACAAGTTTTTAAGAGAAGACTTCAATCTTGAAAAAAGGCTAAGCATATCTAAGATATGTTTCAAAAAAGAAAATATATGACCACTGTAGAAAGACAAGAGAAACAATTAAATAACATAATAAAATTAAGATGAATGTAGTTTATGGTACAAGAGACAGAAGCAGCAATAATGCACTGAACTACAAGTTAATGAAACTATGATACAAAAAGGAAAAATAAAAATAGGAAATTCACCAGGATGTCAGATTTACTTGGGAAAGAAAATGCATGATGGAAACAAATTTAAGAGTAAGTGCAAAAATGGAAATTAAATAAATTTAAGCACTTAAAAATTTTATGGGAGGCAGAAGAATAAGTAAATCTTTGAAGAGTATAGTATACAAAAAAGCTGATAATATTTAGGATATGAAAATCTTGTGTATGTGCCAGTAGCCACAGAAAATTTTACTTTGCTGTACTACTACAATGCACCAACAGCCTTTTTATTGTATCTTCAAAACAAAAATCTAAAATTGGTTTACTAATTTTTATTCCACAATAAAAGAAATTTAAATTTTGGCTACTAATTCACAGTAAACAAATTAATGAGTTGCATATGCAGAAACTTAATACTCTGAGGAATTTTGGAAATTTAAAATAATGTAGATGTGAGTCTGGATTTTGCATTTAAAGTCTTCAATTTTTTTATCTTCTTCATGATTACATTTTCCATAAAAGCAATATATTGTTAGAAAGCAATAGTTTTTCAATTTTAATCATTTGAATTTTTAAAAAAATTTTAAAAAGTTAAATATTATTTTATAATCATAAAAATCATAAATATAAAAATATTTTTACATCAATAAATAACATTTTAGAAATTAATGATGAATAAAAGAAGAAAAGATAATATTTTATTTATTCTATTCTATAAAAGAAGACATGACTGAATTAATGTTTTTAAAATTAACTCTTCCTGTTTAATAGTTTCATTATATTCGAACTCTCTAAGAGAGAGTCCAATAAAAGTAAAAATAAATTTTCCTAATGCTTTAATTGTTGATGGTTGAATCCATATCTGTTAAAGACACACAATCAGTTAAGTAAATATCTATAAAAAAAAAGTTTCACAAAAGGGTCCTCCCTCAATTTAGTAGCAATAGTTGGAAATCAAAACAGATATTGTATAGCATTAACACATTGTTCTATATATTATTATTTCATATTTTTTACATTCTTCTCCTCATCCTTTTTATCGTGTTTTTGGGGAATTATTTTCACTATTACAATATACATAATCACAATGAAAATTATAACTTACTTTCAGAATTATGAAATTTATGTTCAAAACCATAAAATCCATATGATTTACTTTTTTAATGCCATAATTTTGGGCAGATAAGTCATATTTTTGATTTGAAACATTAAGTTTTGGTATATGCAACATATCTGATAACATGGCCTAGCTGGTGTTTTTTAGTTCCATTTTGTTGAATTGATTCTCCAAAATTTCATTATCACTCTTCCCTTTATCTTATGCAGTAATCAATTTTTATAATTTAGGATCAATAATAATTTAAAGAATTAACAGTGTAGGTGAAAAACAGTTTGCAAGAATGTAGCAATAGCACAACAGATACTCTCCCCTTCAACCAAAGAAGCCATTGGCTAATTCCCATCCCACAACCACCCCGGGAATAACACAGATCTCAGCTGATACTGTAACAGGTGTGATGAAAAAAATATGCAAGTCATTTTCAAAAATGAATTAATGGGATGAAATGATTGAAAGATCTATCTTGAAGGTCAAGTTTACCCCCACTTTTTACTGAGGGTCAACTTTTTGATTTTTACTCTGGGAAATGTATGATTTAGGAATTTAGAGATTATCAAGTAAAAAGATGCAGCATGATAAGCTACTGGATAAAAGAAGAAAGCTGGTTTTAGATTTTAGGAAGTTAGATTCTTTCCTGTTTTTATTTATACAGTACAGAACCCGTTATCCGGAAATCAGTAAACCGGAAAACCAAAAAACCGGATCGAAATTCAACAAATTTTCCCGCCTTTTTTTTATAAAAAAATTTTTTTTCATCATAAGATTTTAGGATTTTTCTTTCTTTTTTGAAAGATGTTTACCTTACCATCATTTTGAAAATAATCATTAGTATATTACTTCGTCTTTTCAAGATTATTTCCAAATAATATTTTTTTAGTTGGGTTTAACAATAAAAAAAACGGCTTTTTGTAGCGATTCAGAAAACCGGAAAAATCAGTTATCCGGAATAGGGATGGTCCCGATCGTTCCAGATAATCGGTTCCCTACGGTACTTTTCTTTGCCGATTTAAAAAGAGATCGATTTTATTTATTCTTTACTTGACATTTATTTTAACAATTTTTAGACGTTTAATCATTTGCTTTTATTACCGGAATATTATAAAATTTATGTTTGCACAAAATGAGATTTGTTTATTTTATATACAGTACAGAACCTGTTATCCGGAAATCAGAAAACCGGAAAACCAAAAAACCGGAACGAAATTTGAAAAAAAAAAAGAAATAATAATTTTTTTTCCTCATAAGATATTAGGATTTTTCGTTCTTTTTTGAAAGCTGTTTACCTTACCATCATTTTGGAAATAATCATTAGTGTATTACTTCATCGTTTTTTCTTCTTCTTAAGATTATTTCCAAATTTNTATATATATATAAAGAATAAAACTAAGATTTTATACTAGACACCAAAATTGCTTAGATGTTATTTTTTAAATTAACAACACTCATATGCATCAGGCTTTCTGTAAATGATTTAAAAACAAATGGCAATGTTTTTATTCTCTAAAACTTGAATACACATTTACATGGAATTTAATTAAAAAATCAAATAGAGATGTAAAAGAGTTAAATACCTAATCATATTTTGAAAACTTGCGTGGTGAAAATTTTCTCCTCCAATAACCCACATTTCATCACCAATGACAACAGCTTCGTGTAAAGCACGCCCTTGTATTTTAAGTTTAGCTGGCTCCTCCGCCCACCACCCTTCATCAATTCTAAAACTGCAATCAAAACCTGAAACATAAAAGCAATATGATTATTCAAAAAATATACCATGTTGCTATATTTTTTAACTAAGCAAGCTATTATAAAAACAAGTGTATTTTTTAACTGTTTTATTACTAAGTTATATTATAAAGACAATGAAAAACATAAATAAACTGAAAGAAATAAGTAAAAAGTACATGTTAAATACTTTAAAGTTAGAAATTAAACCACATAAAAAAAGGATTTGATTTGTAAATAAATTATGCAAATGTTAAATTGAAACATTTTATTTTCTTAACCAAACTTAAAATATGGATGAAATATTTTAACTTTAAAATAGCAATCATTTTGTATATACTATATTCAGGTACACATATATTGGAGTTATGCTATTAAACTACCATTTTTTTGTAAAATTTATATGATTACAATAAAACTAGCTATGTAAACTTAAAAATATATAAGGTACAAAGGTAGGGTAGAAACAAAATGGCCAACATGAAATTTTTCTCTTAAATCATAAATTTAATTCTGCATAGTCACAAATATCATGAAATACAGTACAGAACCTGTTATCCGGAAATCAGAAAACCGGAAAACCAAAAAACCGGAACGAAATTTGAAAAAAAAAAAGAAATAATAATTTTTTTTCCTCATAAGATATTAGGATTTTTCGTTCTTTTTTGAAAGCTGTTTACCTTACCATCATTTTGGAAATAATCATTAGTGTATTACTTCATCGTTTTTTCTTCTTCTTAAGATTATTTCAAATTTTTTTATTTTTTAGTTGGGTTTAACTACAAAAAAAACGGCTTGTCGTAGAGATTCAGAAAACCGGAATAATCAGTTATCCGGAATATTGATGGTCGCGATCGTTCCGGATAATCGGTTCCCTACTGTATTTATTTCTTAAAAATTATTTTAAAAAGCTTTTGGCTGTTTATCATTTAATAGGTTAAAATTTTAGAAATTTAAAATTAGTAATAATAATCAGGGTGCGTTTGTGATTGTTCTGTGAAGTATATTTATGCACAAAATAAGATTTATTTTATTTTATTTATTGTTACAAATACATTTTGAATTATTGTAAGGATTTTTAGCAGTTTAATTATTTGATTTAATAATATTTAAGTATTTCAAATCAAATGCCATTATGCAACCTGATGAGATCATAATTGTTTTATATGGTACAATTTTGCACTTCCCTCAATTTAAAATATTTTAATAACTTATTTTAATTATTTTTAGGTTCTCATTCACTTGGTTTACATAAAATTGGAGTATTTTAAACTGGTATCTAGTAACTTAATGCATTTGTAATCATTTGAATTTAGCACAATTATTAACAGTACAATTATGCACATATTTGAAAAATTATGATGAAAATTATCGTAATGCATAATTTCTGATTTAAAGTAAGATCGCATATATTAATTTATTGTGTAGTTAATAATTATTTTAATGAACTTTAAACATTTAATCATTTATTTTGTATATAATTTGTTATTGGTAACAGACATGTTAACTCTGCGATCGCTCATGCAGTAAAATCTGATGGAACGGCCTTTTTAATACATTTTATCCTAATGAAAAACTATTTGAAAAATTGACTTTTGCTAAATAATTATCATAGTCTTAAGGAGATTAAAATAAACTCAATTATTAAAACATAATACATTTCAAATATACATAAAACTACAGATGTTTATTAAAACTGAAGGTATCAATATCTCATCAATATCTCATACCCCATATATTTCTAAGTTATTGTATTTGTTTATCCTACCAAATTTGACTTCATGTGCTATCGTTCTTAATATTTAAATATAAGTATTATCTTACTAATTCTTTCAATTAAAATAAAACTAGCTTACAGGATAAGCATCAACATATACAAGCTAACAGAAACTGACAAATTTTCGGCAGTTTGTTCACAATTTTGTATTAAAAAAAGATCTATAAGCATTTATCATAGTACTTACATTTTCTGAACTAAATGAAGCCTTAAATCTTGCGTAACAGACTGATGCCAATCCTTAACTGTAGATGGATTATCTGGTATAACTGATGGAACCACCGTAGATCCTTGGTTTGAAGAATTTATTATTGCAACTCCTGCTGTCTTAGCTTTAGACTGCAGACTATCAGTGACAAGAAAATTTTGTGCAGAAGGACTGGTTATAGTACTAGAACCACTACTTTGTAAAAGAGGTCTCAATTGCACTTGAGATTGCTGTTGTGCTTGTTGTGTTGATTGTGGAGCTTGCATGCGATTCAAGGTTTGAGGAGAGCACTGCTGAGATTGATCAGCCACTAAAAATTTCAAGTATTTTTTAGCAAATAAATTTACAAAAAGATTTAATTCCCTTAATGAATATAGCGTAGACCCATAGTAATTAATTTTAAAAAAACCTATCTGAAGCAATATGAGAAAAACCAAATTGTCAAGAAGGTTTCACACATATACTTTTGAAGGAAAGCTAGCAACTTTAAAAATATTGTAAAGTAAAACACTGATAATAGATACAAAGCATTAAAAACTAGGTTTATAAATACAACTGCTGTATAAATTGAGTACATTTCTTATCAACCAACTATCCCGTAACTAAAATACTTTTTAGCCTATTATGATACAACCTATTCAATTTTAATTGATTTTGTCAATTTACTTGTTTAAAAAGTTTTTAGAAATTATAGGAGTAAAAACTTTTTACAAACTATAAAAATAAAATTAAATATGAACAACAATTGTTAGTACCAGAATATGTCATCAATAAGACAGAAAAACTACAAAGCATTTTTAAAAAAAGAAATTCTATTAAGACGATTAACACAAATCATTACAAAACGATAATCAGAAAAAATTATAGTCAAGATCACTCATTAGAGAAAAATTCTTAATGCAGTAATTATGCATAATAAACATAAAATAATAAAATTTCAAAAAAAGTACAAGAAATCCCATGTGTGGTTGCATGCAATTTACAAAAACTATATTGTAGAGAAGCATGCTACCTGCCAATCGTTTTTAGTATACTTAATTACTATAAGAAAAAAATCTTAAAATAATTACATAATTTTTGTCAAAGGCATTGTAAAATAAAATAAACAAGTCATTCTAAAGGAATTTAGAAAACAAATGCTTTAAAAATATTATTAGTCAACACATTTTTGGCAATTTAAAAAAACTATAATGATTATAAAATTATGCTACAAAGTTTGAGTAGTTAATCAAGAAATTTTTAAATCATAAATTTTATAAAGTTTCATTAATTTTTTTTAAGTGTATAGTTGGCTACATAATTAAAATTAAAAAAAAAAAAGACTGTTTTGATAAAGGTTTATAGCAGGCTAAAAATGCTATAACAAATAAATGAAATAGAGCTTACAATATTTGAGTTCTGAAAAATGGCCCAGTAGAAACCAGACAACAGAAAACTCCTCCAAATATAAGAATATTAAAAAGATTACTATAAACTTATTTTTAAAAAAATTATAAAATAAAAAAACAGATAGTAACACATGAATACATTAAAAAACCATCTACAACTTATTATTTTAACTATATATAACACTCTAATAAAGTTTTTTTTAAAAAAACTGAAAGAAATACAGTACCATAAGTCTGATATATTGAATTTGATACAAATAAACACAAATGATAAATAATTGGACTCAAGAGAAAAATCTCAAATATATAAGTAAAATTAAAGAACTAGCAAAGCTATTGCAGTTCAGTATAAAAGGAGCTTCAACTTTAAAACAGTGGTAATGGTATCAAACTTCTAAAATAGCTGCCAACATTAAATAATGTGTCCAAATTAGGGATGTAATGAATATTCGGCCTTTTTGCCCAATATTCGGTTGACTGCATGTTCAGCCTAATATTAGGAAAAGTACTTTTCAAATAATTTTTTTAGGAGGAATTTGAGCAGATTTAATAAAGAATAATCTAAAATCATATTTTTTAATATACATTATTTGAAATAGTTTTTATATATATTTGTTAAATTCTAAATCTTGATAAGGTGTTTGCGGAATTTTATTTCAGCTATAGGGCTTTCATGCTAATCATGGTTTAGGGTTTGGGTACAATAAACCTCTGGTCAATGTGCCCTGCTCTTTGGAGATGCCCAATCTCTAATTCTAAGTCTAAATCTTGTTAATTTATGTTCTCAAAGAGAAATGAAAAAGCAAAACTTGAAGAATTGAAAGTAGATTACTTAGCTTTAACTTAGTTTAGAATCATGAGTTTTTACTGCTGATTATTATTATTATTATTATTGTATTCAAGCAAGCCAATTTCATTATTTTCTCCAAAAAAAATTTTCCCTTGAGAATTGAGAACTTTTTTTGTTTATTTCGTTTTTGTTGCTTTTCTGTTTTAATTATAGAGCAGCATTTTAACACTGCAATTCTTATAGATTTAATTCTCTTATTGTCACTTCTTTTTCGATACGGTAAAACAGATAACAGGTAAAAGTGTCATTCTCAATGTTAGTTACATTTCAGAACTAAAGAAAAAGCAATTTTGTTTTGTTTCACTTTTGTTACTTTTTATCTGCGTTTTTATTATGACACAGCATTTTTAAATGTGCTTCTAATAATCGTTTTTCTTTTATGGTCCTTTTTTTCTAAAAATATACAATGTGAAAAATTAAATTTAGATTTTTAACATTTAAATTTTTTGTTTAAACATTAAAAAGATTTTTATTGGTTTCTATCTGGCTTCTTCTTTTTTAAAAACATTTGTTTTTATTATGTGGCAATAAAGAGGGTTTCTATCAGACTTGATTCTTCACTTTTCTTTGAAAAAACTGTAATTGGAAAAACTGAGTTGTTTAGCTTAAAAATTTTCTTTCAAAAATCTAGATCTTTATTTTTTCTGTTTTGCTTTTGTATATAATATTTTTAATGGGGTTACTGCATTTTGAAAAGCATTTCTGATAGGGCCTTTTAAGGTTTTATGAATAATTTTTTCCAAAAAATATTTTTAACGCTAAAGTTTTGTTTTAAGAATCAACAGGATATTTTTTTGTTTCCCTTTTCCTTTTTCTCAAATTTGCTACTTTAAGTAGCAGTTACTCAGTTTTTTTATTTATCTTAAATATTTTTAGTTATCTTAATATCTAATAATTATCTTTAATATCTTAAAAATTTTTATTATAATTTTTTCCTTTAACTCTTACTAATAACACAGCTACGTTTTGATTATTTTTCAATAATGTGAAACTTATATACATACAAAACTATTTATACTTATTTATATATATAATCATTAATGATATTTTTTAATAATTTTTTTAAAAATGTTGCTATTTGGACAAATAACTATTTGTTATATCCCTAGTGCAAATGCCATATTGGTAGCGTTCAGCAGATAAGGCATAAATATAACAAGCACTATTTCTAGTAAATCTTTGAAAATAAATCAACAATGGAAAATATTTGAACCATTTAACACGTATACTTCTTTTTCATTCATCGGCAAACATAAAAACATGGAGGGTTCAAGAGATTCTAAGAAAAGGTTCAAAATCAAAAGGGAATACTGAAAGCCCTATAAACTCCTGAAAAATTCAAGAAGTTGGCAGCTATATGCCACTGATTTTTTTTTTTTTTTATCATTATCTTCAGCTTATGTTACCATGAGATATGGAAACTGCTTGATTCCTCTGTATCACAGGATTAACATTTGTACTACCACTGCCAGCATTAAATGGAAGTCCAAGAGCAGCATAAGCTCGCTGCATATCAGCTGGAGCAGGTCCTTGACTTGACTGACTTGTTTGAACTGCAGCAGCTTTAACATATTTGAAAAAGAAAAATAATGAATCATTAAAATCATTTATAACTTTAAACTTAAATCAACTAAATAAAAGAGAATATAATTATTTCAAATATTTAAAATGTCTTATATAAATTTTATGAACATTTTTTCCATTATAAAACCATTCAATGACAATAAAACCTTTCTATTCCACATGACCCTACTTTAAGACTTTAAAATGTAGAATTAAGAACAAAATACCATGACTGATTCTGCATATTTAGAATCCAAGTATTATGAAACACGGTAAAAGCTTTGTAAGGGAACAATAAATTTAAATTAGTACATGGCGCCTATTTAGAGTAACAAATTAGCTTAGATATTTTTATCTTCAATCTCAGAACATAACAACAAAAATCTTAAGAAAGGCAATATCAACTGAAATAAAGAAAAAAAAATGAGACAAATACAGATTTATGATTGATGTTGTGCTTCAAACTTTACTAATCTGTATAAAGACATATTCTTAAGCAGCATAAAAAGGTTTTACTTTTCAGAAAAAGATTGAAAAGTTGAGATTGAAGAGTCACAATGAAACTGCATAAAAATTACCAATATTGAGAAGTGGATTACATACGCTGAGTGGAAGTAACAAAAAAATTAATCAGTCAAGAAAGCTTTAAAGAATATTTTTTTTAATTTCATTTATTTACTTGTTTTTAAAGAAACTGGTTTAAAGGATTTTTTTTTTTTTTTGGCGAGAGCAGGAAAGGGATTAAAGTTCGATGTGTAATAGTTCTTTTCAAAAGTAATATTTCCAATGACATGATTAACTAGAGCTACTTAATGTTCTCATTTTGTTGTTTCTTCGGATATGAAAGATTCATAGAAATAATATTAATATAACATTAAGAACACATAGCACTTCTGGTAGATTAATAAAATTAGGAATTTCACTATGTAGGTGCTTTCACAGGGTGACCACTCTAATCTGATTTCAAATTTCCTTGATTTTTTCAGGTAAAAATCTTATAAATTCTAGGTCAGCATGTTTTTTATTAATTTTTTTTTTTATTCTTTATTGAGAGTAGGATGGGTACAAGAAAAGTGCTAATATTATAAACTATTTTATTTAAAATGTAATTTTTTTAATAAGTCATCCTGAAAAAATAATTAGAAAATTTATTTTAAAGCAAGATTTTGTTTTTATTTTCTAAATTTTTAATGTTTTAGTACAACTTGAATTTTTAAAAAATTTAAGATAAATGTGGAGAAAATAATATGCTTAATTTCTAGAATATATTGTTTATATTGAATAAAATTGATTTAATGTGTTACTTTAAGTAGTTTTTGTACATAATGTACCTAAATGGCAAATACAGAGAGACCAAAAAATTTCTTGGATAAGAACTGTTTAATATATTTTCATTAAGCAAAAGAAAATAATTCCAGGCGATAATAATCAATAAATTTTTAAACTTATTTACATTTCAATATAGAGCCATTTTATACTCTATATTATCCAATTATTTCCCTTTTTTTTTTAAATTCATTGATCATATTTTCTTTAAACCAATATCTAAAGTCAAGTGTTTAAATAATGTTTGTTTTGAATTAGCATAATTATTTTAAGAGATAGTCAGTATTCACAAATGAATGCCACAAGTGCAAAATTATCAAATGTCTTGTTGCATATTCATTAGAAAACAACTAGATAAAATTCTTTTCTTTTTTTTTTCTTATTTGAAAGTAAAATATTTAAAGAATTCCAATCTAACCACAGGGTGTTTTAAGTAGTTTAGATTAGTTAATTGTTTTATTCTTAAAACTGGGCAATTCCATGGTGTTGGACGTAAAAAAATAAACATAAATTTCTTAGAAAAATTCTCTCATAAAACAAAAGTTTATAATTATAAAATTTGAGTATCAAATATTTAGTACAGCATAAACAATCAGAAAAGAATTTGTTGTATAAAATATTATTATGATAAGTTCAAATTAAAAGGATAAAATTGTTGGCATCAATGTTGGTAAATTGCATGAAAGCAAAAAATTATTACTTATTTACAAATTATCTTAACTCGATGAATTTGTTAATGATTTACATGTAAACTTGACCTAATTTTGAAGCTTCCATTTGAATAAAGAATTCTATGCAGTTATTAACCTGTAAATGCGATATAGAATTAATTTGAAATTTTTTACTTCGGTCATGGACATTAACTTTTCAAGTTGTATATAAATTTAGGTTAGTGATAACCATTATAATGACTCAAAATTACTTTAATTTTAATCTTAATATTATAAACATTGTTTTCGATTTAATAGCTTTGTTAAATTTTTATTGTCTTCTATTTCCTATTGGAATAGATAGATCAATGTGTTTTATAACATTTTCCATCTTGTAAAAGTTAGTTGAAAAATCACTACTTTTAATTTAAACTGTGTAATAATTATGAATCTGGTGTTCTGTATCCCCACAGTGTTCTACTCCCGCTCATTGAAAGATTACAAAAAGAATTATTTTATCACTGATCTGGAATGTCTCGCTATTGTGGACACAATAAATAAATTTTATCATTACTTGTTTGGGAAAAATTTTACAATGCATACAGGACCATGCAGCCTACCTTCGGCTTAAAAATCTTAAAGGGAGATTATTTCACTGGTCACCTTAGCATATATGATTATACTGTAAAAAATACAAAAGATAGCCCAATTGAAGAGGATATGCTTTAAAGGGAAGCACCAGATCCAAAATTAAATGTACACAATGTTGGAAGTCAAGTAAAACATCTTTTGCAATTAACTGAAATTATTAAGGCTAAAAAGAGTTACAATTTAACTTGAAAATTTGTCGAAATTAATAATTTATTATGTCTACGTTAAAAAGGATTTACTAAACTTGGGGTAGCATTTTTATTACAATTGAAATTAATTAAAATTGCTCATGAAAAATTTGGACATTCAAAAAACAATTAATTTACTAACTACTGTTTATTATAGGCAAAATTGTACTTCTCATATAACTAAATTTACTAAGCAATGTCACACATGTCAAATAAATAAAAAGCTCAGACAAAAAAGATTTTGGCTTTTACAAGCAATGCCTCTGGTTGATAAACCGTTTGACTTACTTACAATTGATAGTGTTGGTGGTTTAAACCATTATAATTTATCTGAAAAGTATTTGACCTTAATTATTGACCATCTGATTCGATGTAGGTGGGCTTCCGCATCAAAATCAATTACAACAGAAACTTACAAAACTTTTCTTCATCATACTTTTCCCCAAAAAAATAAAAAAAAAGTGATAGAAATGCAGCTTTTACATTTTCTCATTTTAAAAAATTTCCTTAACATCACAACATTCAACAGTTTTTAACTACAGCTCATAGGTCTGAAACTAATGGAAAAGTAGAGAGATTAGGACAAACTATAATCACATGTTTAAAGTGTAAAATTAAAGAGAATTCTTCCAAAATACTGTGGCCACCATTATTAAAATAAGTTATTCAGGAATATAATTTAACTCCACACTCATTTACGAAATTTCCTCCGTCATATTTATTAAATGGCATAGTTCCATTTGAAAATCCTTTAAAAGAGAATTATTATCCTCCAATCAAAGAAGCTAGAAAAATAGAAATTGAAAACACAACACGATACAAGAAAAATAACAGTTCATTAACGTTTTTTAGACTTGTAGATATAAACTTTTCACCGGGTGACACAGTCATGTATGAAGAGTTTAAATATCCTAACAGTAGAAAACTCTCTCCAACTTTTAGTGGTATTTATAGCATCAAAAGATGTCTAATGTGAATTATGAAATAGATAAACAGAATAGTCATACTATGAAAAAACAGAAATTATGCATGTTTCCAAACTAAGAAAATATTATGGACCAGAAAATTTAAAGCTTAACCATGAATAAAATTTTCTAAATTTTTTTTTAAAAGAAATATTAAAGAGATTAACAAATATAGGATTTTTTTTGCATTGTATAAATTTAATAACATGAAAATGTCATATATATGGTTCTTATGAACATGTTACGCCTTCTTCGACGGAAGATCCAACCCCTCAAAATTTCTACAACGGTTGTGTTTACCTGTATTCAAAATAAATATGGGGCAAAGTTAATACAGTATAACAATAAACAAATCATATTTTTCATTGCTGTATATTTTGAGACAGGATCTTCCGTATCAATATTGCTGATACACAAGATTGTTTTCCTCCTCTTGAGGACTACAGCGTTGTATCCAGTAACAAGCCCTTAACTATACTATAATCTTAAATTCTAGATTAAGACGCAAGCGTCCTTTTTTATTTCTCTTTATTCACTTTGAAAAGATATGTGGATAATGAATTTCTGCATACGTGTTTTTAAGTTTATTATTTTTAATGCTTTCTTTATTAACTTTTAAAAAAAAGTCTTCACTTTTAGCATTTTGTGATGTTACTACACAGAACTTTGCAGGAAAATACAGAATAATATTAGAGACTCTTCTTTTTTTATAATGTGTGCATTAACTTTGATAAATTGCTTATAAAAGATATTTTAAAGTAATCATTACATATTGTTATAGGAAATAGGTATGCATGTTTTTGTGTACGCAACTTTTACTTTGCATTTGTTACTGTTGTTTTGCTTAAATGTTTTCTATTTGATAATTTGTTGTGCGTTTTGTTAGTTTTCATTAAAAATTCTGATGAAAGGTGTAGCAAGTAATTAACCATTAAAAAAAATTTCCTAAGTTCTAAATTTAATATGAAAAAAATAAAATTTTGGGGATGTAATATAGAATGCCTCATACAAGTCTTTCTACATTAAATCATAAGCTTAAAATAGATTTCCCTTACTAGTTTTAAGATGTAGAAATCATTCTCTCACAAAGAGTCATAAAAAGTACAGATGCCAATTAAAATATTATTTTCTGAAGTTAATGGCTAATAATTCTTAGCAAAATAAGTATTAAGAAAATCTTAAAAATTCCCTATCATCAGAATGTGGTCATCTTTGGAAC